TGAAAAGGAGAGGTTTTCCTAAGCATGGTAAGAATCCCCAAATCCTAAAAGTGTTTACCTTTCAAGTAACACCATACACAAAGCTAAGGACAAACCCGTAGGAAATGGGCCAAGGTTGTGAGACACAAGATGCCTCAGGTCCTGGGAGAGGCCGACAGGCTGGCAAGCAGGCCAGACCTTCGAGGAAAATTACCTGGAGATGGCTATTTTACCACGTAAAATATGCAGCTTCCTTTCCAGGTCCTTTATCTTGCAGATATAAAAGCACCACACCGCAAAGTCATCTATACAAAATGCTTTCTGTAGTGGCCAAAAAAAAAGTTGAAAAACAACGCAGACGCCAGAAGAAAAAAACAAAACAAAAAAACAAAAACCCCACCCACTTTTCTGCTTGGGGTGTGGGCAGGCCATTGGATCCCCAAGGCCTTTCGTTTGCCCTAGGATGCGAAGACCCTGAGGCCGCCGCCCCCCAGCTTGCCCCGAGTCTGGCCGCGTGTGGCGGTGCTGCCAGGGCTCCACATCGCGTCCCTGCAACCAGCAGGCCTCGCGCACATGAGTTTCGTCACGGCGCTTCCTCCCCACTACCCTGCTCCCCTGCACCACCGCCCATTGGCGGGCTCGTGGTGTTCCCAGGCGCATGGCGCAGCCGCACACGTGCGTGCCGGGCAGCAGCATCGCGCAGGTGCTGTTACGTTCCCGCCTCGAGGGTCTGGAGAACGGGCTAAGGGACGCGCTCGGCCGACCCGCAACGGTTGGCGGGTTGGGAGAAGGCCGGCGCCCGGATGGGACTGCGGCTGGATCCTAGCCGCGTCTTCTGGGCCAGGTAAGAATTTGCAGCCAGTTCTCCAGCCCATCTCGTATTGTGATAGATGGTTTAAGAGTAAGAACTCAGAACTCTTTCCCTTCTAATAGTTCTCCTCCAACCGCAGTGCCCCACACCCGGTGACAGATTGGCCTAAATAGGGTGGCATTAGGGAGGGTAGTGAGAGCCCAGAGCTTCGTTAGAGGAAAAGTGTAAAGGGAAGGCCAGTAAACTCAAAGTGGTGAATTAGAGCTGGCCACGGCTTCCCCATTTCTGCCAAGTCCAGAGGGGAAAGGGGGAAAAGATATGTCCATCAGATCCTTCTCAGTGGTCTAAGTGTGCCCCAGTGGTATGAGCTCCCCCTCTCTAAGCCTTGGCTGACAACTGCTGGGAATACCACAATGTACCATACGCAACCTGCAGGGCAGCCCCTTAGGAGGCTGGATGGAAGCCCCGCCCCTCCTCACCCTGAAGGGATACTTTTGAAACAGGCCAAATGGTTAGGCAGCCATGAGGATGGCTATGGGGTAACACCCCAGGAGGGCCACTGAGTAAGCAGTGAAATGCGTACGGGTAGCTCGCAGAGACCAGTGAATCTTGGACACAAAAATTCAGGGTCAGGGCAACAAGCACTTTGGACCTCCATTCCAACTTCAGACCAGCCCTAGATTAGTGGCTATCTACATATAGGGGCCTCTGAGTAAATTTAAGGTGGAGAACTAGCCTAATGGCTTAAATAATTCAGGATGAGCAATGATTGGTCTGAGGCTTTGTGAGCTGGAAGGAAATTTCTACAGGACCCACCAGGAGCCCTAGGTTAGACGACCCCGGGGGCGGGGAGACACTCGTCAATATTTTGGCTCATTGCAGAGTGAAATGTTCCTTGCCAGGGCCTTCCTCTGTCCAGTCTTTGTCTTGCTCACTATGGAGGGTGACCCCATTAGTGCTGAGAACAGAACAGTCTGAGGCCTAAAACAGGGCAGCAGAGAAAGCGTGTTCCCTTGGAGCTCTGCCTCCCTTGGCCAAGCTGGCCATTTACCTGTTCAGGGAACCAAAAGCAATGCAGTCATTCAAAAGGAAGCCTCAGAGGTGCCATCTCTAACAAAGGCCAAAACCCTCTAGTGGAATTCTGAGGATGTCTCAAGCACCTTAGTGACCACCACCAACAGGTCCCTTATAGCCTGGCCCAGCTAGAGAACAATCTTCCGACAGGGACAAGTAACCAGGAGCCACTGCCCACTCCAGTCAAGCCTTGTATTCTATGTAAATGGCAAAGAAATTTGAGCTTTATCACTTACTGGTCCTTAGAGCTAAGAATTCTTGGCTACCACTGCTTGAACCACAGGTCTGAAAGGCAGTTATGTAGACTTGGGGAACTGGACCCAATAAGAGCAGCCAAAAAGTAGTGTCACTTAGATAAAGGAGGAACCAGAAAAGTTTTTCTCAACCTATTAACCCATGCCTTCCTTGAGTAAACAAACATGTTAAACCTTTGTCCTGACCTAGTAATACAGTACTGATCCTGAAGTGGGGGTTATAATCCTAAATCCATGGGACACTTGGGGCCTGAATGGGTTGTACAAGGTGAACATTTTCCTGAAGACTTCACCCCTTGGTTATCATCTTCTATTTTTGTAAACACTTTTGTAAAGTCCCTAATCCAGATTCGGAACTACAGACTGCATCAGAGACACAACTGGCCAGTGAAGGTGCTCAATCGTAGTTCAACTCAAAAATGTATCACTTTTCTCCTTTCAGATTAGTACACAGGATGGAAGACTGCATACTGACAAATGTGGTGGGGGGGCGGAATACACTCGTAGGAGCTAAAGTTGGAGGTCTTTTCTGGACTGTATCTTAGTATTTTTAATATTAATATCTACCATTTGACACAGCCATTTCTCTTTGGAATTTACCATACATACATATAGATGAGTTAATAATACACACATCATAGCATTTTTCATAAATGTTAACCCAAATGTTTAAGTAGGAGACTCTTAAACATCAGTACATCCAAATCCAAGACAATGAAATGCTATGAGGTTGTGCAGAAGAAAAAAGTAGACCCATATGGGCTATTCTGAAACAGGTTCCAAGATACACTGATTGGGAAACAGGCAGAAACAGAACAGATGTGTGCTCAGCATGGATATCCTTTTCAAGGAGAAAACAGGGATCAAGGGTGAAAGGGAGTCTTGCTTTTCAGGCTTTCCAGCCTTTTGTACTGTTTGAATTTTTACTGTTATGCGTGTCACTTAAAAACTAACGGAAGTCCCCACTGCTCCCATTCCTTAAAAATAAGCAATGCTGTACTCATTCACCTTTTTGCGACCATTGTGCTATGGACCCTCAGGCCACAAACCAGCCAGACCACTCCCTCCTCCCAAGTCTTCACAAAGTTCCAAGCAGGTCCCATCACATGGAAAGGGGAGGAACCCTGCACTTTATCTTCCCACCCAGAATGGCAGGACCTCTGTCTGGGCAACAGGCTACATTCAGTACAGCTGTGATTGGATTTACACAGCAAAGTGGGCACATGAAGTTCAAGCTAAAATGTTTTAAGAAATTCAGCATTTCTGTTTCTGTGTTACGGAGGGTGAATATTGAAAAAGATGGTGATGAGGAATAATCTGAAGACAGTTTAAAACCACAGTGGTAGAAAGAATAAAGCAGAAAGTGCTAGATTTTACTAACAGAAGAAAACAGACTGCATTCAGGAGTCTCACCAGTAAAAGTTTTATAGTATTGCATTTTGATTACAGGTGTGTAAATAAAAAACTTGGGTATTACCCCTGGTAAAAATGGAGAACCAACTTCCTTTAGATTAAAACAGTAGGTTTGGGGACAAAAATGAACCACATGCTGCCTGGGATGGAGAGAGCGAGGTGGACAGGAGAGGAATCACCAGCTCAAGAAACCCCAAGGCTCAGAGAATCTTCCAGAGGAAGAGACCAGGTTCTGAGTGGTATTTCCCCAAATAACCCTGCCCCAGGGATGTGGTTTGGGGAAGCCCCAAACCCACAAATTGCAGGTGCTTCTGGACACATGCACAAGTGGGTAAAGACTTCCCTCACCAGTGCCTCCCAGTCTTGTGCAGAGGCCACAAAGTGGCAGGTGGGCCACTGTTGACCCAGAGTGGGTAGATGCCAGAAACACACCCAGAAAGGTTTGAATCACAGACCAGTGGTACCAGGCCATAGTTCTTCTGCCTCTAGAAAACCCGAAGTCCCCAACAGTAGAGGAGAGAGAAGAGAGTTGGGGGAAATCAAACCAGAATTTTTCCAATGACCACTAAAGAGAAACTCAGCAACTCTTGCCATGTCTTTGACCCTGAGAAGTCACTTGAAGGACACAGCTGCGTGAGGCTGTGATTAGATGGGAGGGAAGGCATGGTGTGCTTCCTACAAAGCTGCCTCTGGAGTCCCTGTGGCTCAGTGACCCCTCTCCTGTCTGGCCCAGAGCAGGGACCGGTGAGGCCAGGCAGAGGGGAAACAGTAAAAACAGCAGCGGCAGGCTCTCCAGATCAGCCAGCACCATCTGAGGCAGTGTGCTCCCTCCAGACCCTCCCAAACCCACAGGCAGAGGTCACCACCAGATCAGCACCAGGGGCTCTGTCATAAGGAGCTTTCTCAAAACGAATCCTTTGGAATTCAAACATTCATTGTGTATTCCACTAGAGTCAGATCTACTACTCAAACTGGACTCAAGTTTTTGAGGTGGGAAACCTCACTATCCATGGTTAACTGAGGAAATCACTGCCACAGGGAGAACTTGAATGGTGGATGGGGGGGTTGAATGGGAGGATCTTTCTTCCCCAAGCTGTTTGGACAATGCCACAGCATGACTGACAGCTGCTTGGGCCAACATTCATGTCCCTGACCTGAGAAGGGAGCTGCTCAGCACTGAGCCTCTATCCTGACCCACTACCCCCAGGGGTCCCCCAGATCAGAGCCCCTAGGAGAAGCACAACTCTGGAGGGCTCTTTCCCTTGCCCACTCCTCAGATATCAACACTGTTCATCCTCTAGAATAGCTAAGCCCTGCCCCTGAAGCCTCTCTGACTTATGGATGACACTGGGTTTACTGTATCTTGAGGAGCCAGGAGCCAAGAGAAGGAGCTTGGCATCCTGGTTCTCTGTCCTTTGCCCAAGAGTCACCAAAAGAAAAATGTATGGTCTCATAGTAGGCGCAGCATCTTATTTCTTTTAAAAAATAAATATTTATAAACTTAGGGAGGAAGATTCAAAGAATCAGAGTATTTTTCCCTCCAAAAGCACAAATGTCTCATGAGTCAAATCAAGGTAAGTCCACCAACCCATGAACAAAACAACCCCCACCCCCCGAACTCTGCCTTGAAGGGCAGAGGAGCTGATCTTTGTCTCTGAGCCCCTTAGTCCCCCTTGGTGATCAGGTCCTCGATGTAAGCATCCAGCTCATCATCTGTGTTGATGTCTATGTCCTGGAATAGAAAGGAGCAATCAGCTAGGGCCCAGAAGGCGGTGGAGGGGGGGGTGCCACCTCCCCATCCTTCTCACAGGCAAAGGAGCCTGAGCCCAGGATCCCCAACCCCCGCCTCCACCCTCGCTGTCAGGCCTGTCCCATCTTGATCATTCTCCCCCTCCCCATCCTCTGTGCACAGATGACGCCCAGATTTCTTGCTCCAGCCCTGCCTTTACCCCAGGTTCCCAGTGCCTTAGATGTGTTACAGACTTCTCAGACTCAGTATTCAAAACAGCCCAACTGCATCACCCTACCCTGGGTTGTGCCCATCTCAGTACAGGTTACCACCTTCCCTCACCCAGGGGCTCAAGACAAACATTAGTATCACCCCTGTTTCCTTCCTTCTCCCCAAATATTACAAATCTTTCTCACGGTCACCATCCAAGATTCAGGCCACCAAATCTCTCACCCAGGTAAGTGTGGGAACCTCCTCCTCACCCAAGCCCTGGCTTCTAACTTCCACCCAACTCCAGGACTTCCTACAACCAACCACAGCAAGTATCTTAGGTTGCAAAAAGGACTGTGCCATACCCCTCCAGGGACGGCCCACCTCACGTAGGCCTGCCTCTTCTATCACCCACAAGTCCCTGCCTTTGACCTCAGGTCCTACTCTTCTCTCTGCCCAAAGCACTCACATCCTATCTTGTATGACTGATTCTACTCAGCTCAAATACCCCCTTCTTAGCGAGAACATCCTAGTAAAGGGGCCTCCATGTTTTCCTTCTCTTGTATTTACTTCATAGCACTTCCCCCCATCAATAATTCTGTGCACCAGGCTGTTGGGCCATGAGGGTAGGGATCTTATCTTGCCTATCTGGTTCACCCGGTATCCACGTCCGCAGTTTTCACTGCCTTGGTGAAGGACTAAGACCCTACAGGGGCACTCCCCACTTCTGGGCAACCCAATCCCAATCTGGGCGTCATCTGGAAAAGCGAGAACTTTTTTCTGTTTTATGGCTTGGAGGATTCTCAAACCAGGTTGTAAACCAGAAGATCTAAACAAGGGCAAAAATCTGATACCGTGGGTCTGGCTGGGATGAGGCCCAGGCAGCCGCACCACCTCCAGCCCTTCTGGTCAGGATGCTGTGCAGCCAGGGTTGGAACCACAGATTCCTGTGAGTGGGGAGAAGGGAGCAGGAGGTGCCCAGGCCCCCCTCCCTGAGACACCAGGTGGTCCAGCTGCAATGAGAGGGCTGCCTGGCTCACCTCCTGCACCTTTTGCAGGAGCGCCACGATGTTGGTCCTCAGCTTCTGCAGCTTCTCCTCTGTCTCTCGGAGCTTTCTCTCAGAAGTGCGCAGGCTCTCCTCGGAAGCCTTGGCCCGTGAGTCGGCACGGCTCTGGTAGGAATGGCACAGATTCTGGAGTCCCACTTCATACTGTTTGAAGTACTCTTTCTGTAGGGAAGGAACCCACAGGATGATTGCATGAACTTACAGGGGCCCCAAGGGTCCCTCTAAATTAGCACTAGTATCCCCCACCCTGGCTCAGCACAAGGATGTTCAGTGTGAAGGGATGTCACACACAAGGGACAAGTGGGCTCTCTAGCTCCAGAGTGGAAAAACCTGATGCCCATCTCATGGGGCTGCCATGAGAGGGAGATAGGATCACCTGATGTGAAGCCCTCAGCCCTTGGCAGACAGCAAGCTATTAGTGAGGGATGATTCTTCCATTCCAGTTGGCACAAAAAGGATGAGTTCCTCTCCCAGCTCAATCACACCTTTCTAACCTCACCATAGTCCTCTCAGTAGCCCATTCCAAGTCACGCCCCACAATACAAGAACCAAAATTTCTCTTCCAGAAATATTTATCAAGCACCCACCAGCGGCAAATACCTTCAGATTTGTGTAGTATACTTCTATAAGCAACATCAGAGCTTTTACTATCTTTCCTGAGTACCTGAAACTTCCAAGATGTGGGGTAGTGATGGTAAACTAGCAGTTTCTCTAGACATGAGGCTTTTCAAACTTTTAAAAGGTAGCAGAACACTTGCTTCAAAAGAAATGTTACATGGAATCTAATTGTAAAAAAATCTGAGCAGTATCTATTTTCAAAGCTCAAATTTATAACATCATTTACTCTTAAGTCACCAATGAGAATAAGGCCATTTTGATGAAAATGAGTGGTTCTGGCTGACCACTGTAGTCTTATCAACTCATGTGTTTATATGCTTCTATAAAGATGTATGAGCTTACCGGCATTGAAGGGCTCCTGACTGATTTTAAAAAGCGTTACTGGCTCCTGACTGCTGTTTTTAAAAAGTGTGACTGGAAAGTACTTAACTCTGTCATTTACCTTACAATGTAGAGTAGCCAAGATGGCAAAAGAAATTTGAAGTTTTATGTAAAAAAATTATGTTGGCAGCACAAAATAAGTGAGCAGACTCCAAAATATTAAAACTCAGTATACGATGTCTTGAGCCTATGATTAGTTTTTTAACTCTTTAAACTTTTTATTTATTATAGATTTAAATGGTTATGTTACTTTTTTAAAAATATATATTTAAATCTAATATTTGCAGGACTCCTGAGAACTTTATGGAACTCCTAGTCCAGTATGATGGCAAAAAGGATGATCTTTTACAGACTGACAAGAGCATAATGAACATTAGACTATTGTGTCCCTGACATTAAAAAAATTAGTTTGAGTTATTTTAGACATTACAGTCAGCAGACTATAAAGTTGATGCATTGAGATGATGGACTCTGAAAAACAAACTGAGGGTTCTGGAGGGGAGGGGAGTGGGAGGATGGGTTAGCCCGATGATGGGTATTAAAGAGGGCACGTTCTACATGGAGCACTGGGTGTTATATGCAAACAATGCATCATGGAATACTAAAAAAAATAAATAAAAATTAAAGTTGATGCACTGGTGATATACCTCCTTTTATAAGCATAAGCTAACAGACTTTTAGGCTCAGATGATCCTGGCTGTGTTTCTGATCTGAGCAGCAAAGATCCCACTGCACTCAGGCTTCGCTGAGTCTGACAACTTCAAGCCAAAATCAACAAATCTGACTGACAAGAGGATGCCAGGCCACCCTAGCCATCCTATTAGTGGTTTGTTCCTGGGATTTGCAGAGAGCACCTGCAAACTCAACAAGCGCAAGAGCTGAGGCATGGAACTTTCTAGGGAAGCTACCATGAGCTCTGCCATCCTCTAGCTTCCTTTGCCAGCACCTACCCTCTCATCTCATGCTGAAGCAAGGCAGTACCGGAAGAAGGGCAAGACCCTTGTCCTAAAGAAGTACCTGGGTTCAAATCTGAGTTCTATCACAATGGACTCTTCACCTCTCTGAGCCTCAGTTTCTTCAACTCCTAACTTTTTTTTTTTTTTTTTTTAAGTAGAATGGAGATTTAAAACCCCATCTTTTCCTCTTTGGCAAACCATCAAGCACACAGCTGCCATACGAGGGCCCAACGTCTTGAACATACTAGCCCTGCAGTTTCAATTCTAGTTCTGTTCTCTAGAAACTCCTCCCTAGAAAACTTAAGCTATTCCAACCATAAAATTATCTATCCTGCTCAATGAAAGACAACTCCCAGATCCCACAAGCAGCCCTGGCCTTCCTACCCCTCCCAAGTGCCCAGTCCCCAGTCTCCACCTGCCCACTGGACATCACCAGAAATGTAGGTGCTGGTGCTTCCAGCCCAACACATATCACAATTCATCACCTCTCTTACCCTCACTCTCTGTTTTCTCTCCCAGTTAATAGCTTTGTCATCACTTCCCACAGGCCTGAGACATAGAGAAGAACGTGGCCTCTGCCTCCTCCCCCATCACTTGCCTCCAGTCAACAACCTCTGACATGGCCCTTTCACCCACCAGTCTACCCGCTCCACTCTGGCTCAAGTTCCCGTTCCCTTACCTCTGAGCTGTCACAACTGGACCCGCCCCCTTGCCCCTCCATCTCCCATCCACCCATCCCACCCAAACATACTGCCACAGAGGTATCCTCTTAGGGCGGGGTCAGCACACTAGAGCCCCAGGCCAAATCAGCCTGCCACCTGTTTTTGTAAATAGAGCTTTACTGGAGCACAGCCATATCCATTCCTTTACAAACTGTCTACTACAGCTTTCACGCTGTAATAGTGGAGTTCAGTAGTTACCACAGAGACTGTATAACCCACAAAGCTAAAAATATTTGCTAACTGGCCCTCTACAGAAAGTTTGTTGACTCTTGCCCTAGACCAGGTTCAGACTGACAATTCCCCCGGCTCAAAACTTTTGCTGGCCCTTCATTTTATTCAAGGTTTAAACCACTATGCCTAAGACCAGACATTCAAGACTCACCATATCCTGGCTCTCAGGCCCTCTTCTTGCCTAAATGCTCACCACACAGCCTGCTGCCTTGACTTGGGAAGTTTCATCCCTCTGACCCCTTGCTCACAAAGTCCCCTTACCTCAAAGCTTCCCTGTCACTTATAGAGGCACTTCAGACTGCTGCTCTCTCCCTTCCCAAGGCTGCCACAGCCCAACCACCTGCTTCCACAGCACTTATTGCTCTCAGTCTCATGTCCAACTACGGGTAAAAATTCAAGCTCTATTGAATCCTAAGCCACTTGGAGGCAGGACTCTCTTCTGCTGCTCATTAAGAGGTCCAGCACAGGGCCTGTGCCACATCAGCATAGTAACACCCAGTGCTTACTTTCAACACATCTCTACCTCGCTCTAAGAGTCAAGTTTTAGGTACTTTGAGCCTAAGTTCTTCACTGTTGCCTGGGACAAGTTTACTCCCTCTGCTGGGGTAGAGGAAAAAGGATATACTCATTCTAAAATGTCAAACCAGGCCTGCTGTCCCGAAGTGAGGACTCAGCCCCAGCATCTTATGGTAGGGTATGGTTGACTTCCGCACATCACAGTCATATCCAGCTACGGGGGAACGGGAGCGGGGGGACACAGCAAGGGCTGGCAATCACAAAAAGCATTAAGCTGAGGGATCATGCAGAATAAAAATAAAGGTCAGGCCAAACTCACCAGAGGAAATGATATTAGCTCATCTGAATTCATAGCACTAAGTTCCTTCTTGGAGATGGGGAAACTTGGAGGCAGAAAGTACCGTAAACAATTCCTAAAGAAAGAAGAAGGTGGGAACAGAAATTCAGAATAGCAAGAACAAGTGTGGAGAGCCACAGCTAGCCCCAGAGTGGGAAGACACATTACCGGAGGATCTGGACAAGCAGGTCAATAGTCTCGTGGTTGGTGCTCGGGGCAGTGGTGTCAGGCTCTATGCGGATGCAGTCAGAAGTAGAGGGCTCTGCCATGGCTACAGCCTGCTGGGCCACCACCACCTCCTCCTCCTCCTCCTCCTCCTCCTCCCCGCCCTCCTGCTGCGTGTCGGGGCTCTGGTACTCCGGAGAAGGGGGCTTCATCAGCCGCACATCCTCACTGCCTTTCTCTACCCTAGGAGGCACACAAGCACTTGTGTCATGTGTGCTCCAGGCGCCCAGGATGGGCCACCTTCTGGGAGGCCAGGGATAGCCCTCCCCCTGGCCTGGCCAACGCTGTCAGCCTCTGGAAAGGGGCATTACCAGCGGTCTCTCGGAGTGGTGTCTGTGGGCACGTAGTCAAATTTCACCTTCCACCGCACCACATGTTTGCCCACCTCCACAGCTGTGACGCGGCCTGTGTACCACTCCCTGTTCACACGCACCTCCACGTGCAACCCTTTATCTGAAAGAATGAGGATGGAACGGAAGTCAGAACACTAACAAAGTTCCCCACTCAGCCAGGGCCACCTTGACAGAGGCGGTCCCAGGATCTGCAGAGACAAGAACCCCTAGATGCTTGCCTGTACTTTGCCAGGAACATGAAGCCCAGCCACCCTGATCTCCTCCCCCATCTGTTGTGAGGGTGCCAAAGAGCAGCAGAATGAGTGACTGCCAGAGGTGCAAGCCAAGAAATTTGTGCTAAAAATACACATAAGGGTGTGCTATCTTCAGAATTCTTCTCGGGATCAGACTTGGAACCACTGCTACATAAGAGCCCAGAGCCAGGAAAGCCTTTGAGAGCCTTCAGGATAAACAGTTGCTGGCTGAGGGACCCCACTACCCTTTTCCCCCACAGGCTGCCAGGTACCTCCCCAAACTCACCTTTCTGAGCCCTCTTAAGATCAGCTGGGTCCTCTTCCCCGGCACTGTCTGAGAGCTGTAAGGAGAACAGAGTCTGTTAGAATCATCCCCAGTGCCCCCGAAAAGATTTTTACATGACTGGCAACCCAGGGTCATTAGCTGTCACCTCATGTTGTCTTATGTGGCCACTTACATCTCCGTGTCTCACCAAGAGCTGCTCTCTAAATCACTACCTTGAGTATCTACCCTTCTGCCACCTTTATAAACAAGACAGTATGCAAAGGAAAGTCACAAACACAGGGAAGCAAAGGGTTTCACAAGCCTCCCTGGTGTGTGACCTCCAGCCTGTGATGAGAGCCAGAAGCCAGTCTCATTCAGAAGCCTACCTGGTGCCATGTTTCTAAGTCATCTGTGTGACTAAGAGTCCTACAGAGATGAACTGGGCTTCTGGAAGGCTCAAATCACAAAACAGAAACAGCTGGTGCAGACTGCAACCCTGGGGAAGGAGGTTCTAACCTCACCTGGGACCACCTACCTCATTCAAGTCCTTCTTTTCCTCCTTCACAGCAAACTTGCCCCGCTTAGACCTCTCCTTCCTCCTCTCAGCCTCCTCCTCAGCTTCTTCTTCATCAGAGACCCCAAGAGTCCGCTTCCGACCAGGAGTGGTCTATAGCAAGAGGAGAGGGAATTGAGGGGCCCTGTCAGCCCTTGAAGTGCAGGAAGGTTCCATCTGGCCTAAAGGAGCTGTTCCACTTGTGTGCTTCTCAATTCCCCCAAGGCTGAGCCTCCCGACATTACTCAGTATAGAGCAACCTCCTGATCCCTGTGCCCACAAGGACCTTTGCTCAAAGCTGTCGTAGGGGGAGCCTCTCAGTTTACTTCTCCCTTAGCCTGCCTGTGACCTCCCTGAGACATGCTGACCACTGTTGCAGCCCAGCAAGGTGGTCACCAGGCTGCCAACCTACACCTACACCATAGAAGCTGGTGGAGGGGACTCAAATTTGTAGCAGACCAAAACTCAAAGGGAGCAGTGAAGAGCTCCCTGGACAGGAAACCAACTTGCTCTGTGCCCTAACCAGATCAAGTCCCTTCAGCTATTGAGACTCCTCCTCAGGGGCAACAGGAAGCTTTAGATTTAGTGATCTCCAGTGAGGCTCCCCCAATATAGCTTTGACACAGTCTGATTCCATTCCTACACCACTGAGAGTAGACTCGGGGCTGGAAGAGAAAAAGCATCTCACTGGGGAGAGTTTATTGGGTGGCTCTGGCTTCTTGACCACTGGAGTCTTGATGGCTCTGGGAGCTGGGACCTCCCGAGGGCTCTTGGAGTTGGGTAGCAGAGATGGTGACAGTGGCTGCACCACAGGTGTAGGTCGGGGCGCAGTCTTAACCAGTGTGCTAGCAGGCTTTCGGGGTGCCTCGGGTGGCTGCAGCAGCCTGGATGTACTGGCCTCCTCCCGAGCTGCCAGGGAAGGAGGCTTTGGGGTACTGCTGATGACAGGAGCCTTTCGGGGCTGGCTGGCTGGCCTGGGAGCTTGCAGGGAAGGGGGTCTGCTGGGGGCATTCTTGATCACAGCAGGTAAAGGAGGTGACCGAGGTCGCTGAGGTCTACGTGTAGGTTCCTAAAAGAGAACCGGAGAGAATTGAGAATGCTGATCCTAGCACGAGACACCTAAGGAAAAGCCCTTCCCCCCTTCCTGGGCTTTACCTCAGTGGAAGGTCTGGTGGTCACTTCCAAAGGCAATTTCTTCAGGTCAGCTTGGGACCGGATAGGTGTGGTTTTCTGCACAGCAAACATGATGATGAGGTTGTTTGCATATGTTGGTACATTCAAGCAAACTCTTTGGATCCCTACTATGTGTCTGGGATAGTGGGCACACAAAAAAGAAAACCTAGGCACAGTCCTACTATTTTAAGATTCCCATTCTCACTAGGAGACAAAAAATACAGACACTGTATCATCAGCAAACTACAGGATTCTATGTGATTAATCTAACAATTGAGAGACCAGGAAAAAGTGTCAATGGACTAAATTCCTATAAAAGAGGCCAGAAAAGGTAAGAAAAGCCTGATGGAAAAGGTCAGAAAGGACAAGTGGGATTCAGTAGACAGGGAGGCAGGCCTAAGACATCCAGGTTAGTGTGAACATCTGCAGACACAGACGCCAGAAAATAAAAAGCGTTTTATAATAAAAATGATAAAAGGTTAGTACCATATGTACATCTCAAAAACCTGACAAATCAATTATGAAAAAAATACATGAGAAGAAGCTATCCTGAAACAAATAGACAAAAAAATTGTCCAACTCAAAGATATAAAAGAAATTCAAATTATAAGATGTGTATCTTTGCCTGTCGAATTTGCAAAAGAACTTTAAAATAAATGTACTGCTTGTAAAAAAAACAGAAATCGATACATCTTCTGCAGAATTACTTGGAAGTAGTTATAATAAGCCATAAGATTTTACAAACCCTTTTACTCTTTCAAATTCACTTCTGGAAAATTATCCCAAGAAAAGTATGCACTAAAAAGAGTGTGTGTCATACATAACACATCATTTCCATATTTTTATTATAAAATGTATGTGTACATAGGCACCCATAAAAAATTAGAAAGATATGTTAATTAATGGTGGTTACCTCTCTGGTAGAATACTTATTTTCTGCCCACATTGGAACACATAAACAAAACAGTTTGATTTTTTAAAATGATCATTAATGTACTCAAGAACCAGGGAGCCACTGAGGGTTCCTGTTCCTATCCCAGACAGACCTGACACAGGCTAGCTCTGACCACTGCCCATGACCCACGCACCTGCAGGGCTTCTAGTTTTTCCTGCTGCTGGCGAATTTTCTCTGTCAGCTGCTTCTGCTTCTCTTCTTGTGTCTTCAGGTCCTTTCTGAATGTCCCCAGGGGAACCTTCTGCTTCTGTTCAGAAGCCTCACATCTGTAGAAAGAGGGTGTTAGGGAGGTTGTGGCAAAACAGGGCCCTAAGTAGGACACGGTCCTTCCTCTTCAGCCAACCCATGCTGTCTCTCACCACAGCAACAACCTCAGGGTTCCCAATGTATAGAATTAATACTCACTGCAGGACAGACATCTATTCTTATTTCCAGGGCACTTACTATTTGTAGCAAGACAGAGATGTGAGGATATCAGCACTGACCTCAAGATGCACAGCAAGTTATTTACCCAAAGGGTAGGGAGAATACAGTGGGGGAGAGAGGAGATACCCACAATCTCCTTGTTAGAGCCAAGTGCTCACCGGTCCTGCTCAGGATCAGGGTTCATGGAGCAAACCCAGGTGTCAGGGTAATCTTTTTCCACAGAACTCAGCTGGAAGGGGAGGGTTCGCCACTTCAGACACAAATCTATGACACAGAAAACACCCCCATAAACATCAGCCATGCCCCATAATATCTTTAGTAAACAGGTTCCTCCCAACCAGGCCCAAGGCAAAGATACCCCCAACTTTCCATGGCTACAACTCTGCCTTCCTTACACAACAGTAATTCTTCTCAGGGACAGTGATCCCAGCAAGAATAGACACTTTATATCACGGACTTTCAATGTTCCCAGCCTCTCTCCCTCCTCCAACAGGATCCTGGCTCAATCATCACTCACACCATTAACAATGGGGTACCAAACCAAGTGATGCCTGGCAGGTTAGACACCTTCTGCCTCATTCAGGAGGGACCAGTGGGACTTGACACAGCCCCAAGGCTGAGCTCCCAGGCCCATCACCAAACAGACTCATCCCCAGTGGGACCCAAAGTCCATGAATGTCAGTCAAGTCAGGAGGCCAGCAAGGGGATAGAAAGAAGAGGGTCATGGATTATGGTGGAGAGTCAGGAGGAGGTTCCGACCACCGGCTCACCACACTGGATGGTGGTTGGAATTTCCATAGCTCTCCGGCGCTTGTAACGTAGCTCGCTGGATGGGGGCTGGTTCCAGTTGGCAGAGAGGTAGCCAAACTCATCCCAGAACTTGATGATTCCCCTCTGGGCTGGAAAGGAAACACCCACACATCATATTAGGAGCCAGCCTCTCGCTCTTCCTAAATTTACATCCTTGGGCACTAAGGATATTCTAAGGTTGGAAGTGAACAGAAAGGGAATTACCAATGGCAATGTCCTTCCAATACTGTGCCAGGTGCTCCCCCATCGCCCGCAGCAGGTGCCGGTACTCCTTAGCATCAGCAAAGTCCTGCTTGTTGTGTGTAGGTTCCAGGACCAGGTAAGGCACATCAACAACCCCAACAACCCCACCGCATGCCCTGCAGGGAGAAAAAAAGACAACTCTTTCACCCCACTGGCCCACTGCCTTGGGCTGAAAAGCTCTCCTTGGGCAATACTCACATGCCCCCTTCCAGCTGTGGGCCCACTTTTTCATACATCTTGATCAGGCGGCTACAGTTATAGATGAACATGCCATCCAGGTCCCGGTGCTCAATGTTGACCCCAAAAACAAAATTCAGTTCTTTAGGTTCTTTAAGTGCTCTGAGAAAACACAATATAAATTTAAGCAGATCAACCCACAAACACACAAACACCATGTTCTTGAAGATATGTTAGCTTAAGCTTAAACTTGAGACATGTTAAGGAATAAGTTTTGCATTTCCAGTCAACGTGTAACCCATCAGACTTGGAAGGGAGATGGTACTGTGCAGTGACTCTAAGCATCCCTAATTAAAAGCATGTGACTTTGGCTGGCTTCTGGTAATAAAACAGGGACGTTAAGATTTAAGTATGAATGGGATACTGTGAAGCTGCTGCAAATCTCTGTGAAGATAGTTACATGGTGGACTAAACACAAGATCATACCTACTCCACTAATGTGACAGTAATAAATTTTAAAAAGGTAAAAATTCACTAGAACAATGAACACATATGTGAGGGAAGAGACCCTCATGTGATAAATAAAATCATGGAGCTGAAAAGCAGATGGATGAGCAGCACACTCACTCAGAAGAATCCAAAAACCTATGCCTGTGGCAGGAAGGCCAAGAAGCAGCAACCCAGGAATTCAATGTCCAGAGCCCCAAGAAGCTCCAGACATAAGGTGGGACATGGAGATAATCTAATGAGTCAGGACAAGTGCCCATTCTAGATAAAAAAGGTCCAAAACTCAATCTACAGCATTACTCCACATTTGTAACCAGGGATAAAATATTAAGAGTAGATATTACCAGATGGTACAAATGTAAGGGAGTTTTAAAATATTTCTAAAAATGGTCTGTTTTACTAGTTTTATACAATGAGCATTTTATATATGCTTTAAATGAAAAGGAGAAAAAAGAAGGAAAGAGAAAGAGAGGGAGAGACAGAAAAAAAAAAAGGGAGGGAGGGAGGGAGGGAAGAAAGAACAGGAGTTGCCAGGAAGAGAGGTCTACCAGGGAGTGGGCCCACCCTGCCTTTTCCTAGCTCAAGAAAAAACCTGCAGTGGGCATTTGACAAGCATTTGGGATCACATCAATGGCTCTCTCAAAGCAATCTTTGTAACAGAATAGCAACCTCACAGGGTGGGGAGGGATTCCTCAAGCTCTTTTAATTTTGAGTACAAAAGCTACATAATTTTAAAAAACCAAAAGCCAGGGACACCTGGGTGGCTCAGTTGGTTAGGGGTCCTGGGATCGAGTCCTGCATCGGGCTCCTTCCTCAGCAGGGAGCCTGCTTCTCCCCCTGCCTACCACTCCCCCTGCTTGTGTGCGTTCGCACTCTCTCTCTGACAAATAAATAAATCTTAAAAAAAAAAAAAAAACCAGCCCTGGCACTCACCGCTGCTTGGCCTCCTTGATCCGCTTCTTGACATCAGCTTCTCTGCGCAGGGTAATGGCTGTGTTCTGGACCTGACGCAACATCACCTGGAAACGTACATTGGCACCAAGTGAGGGGAGGAGGTGCTCTGGACCGCAGCAGGCAATATTATAAAAAACATCTGAAACCTCTCAATTTAAATCACATGGAATCAAAAACACACTGAGGGGTAGAGAACTGCTCAGACCCCTTCACTACTGTGTGTGACCTGGGGCAAGTCCACCTTCACTTCAATCTCCCTTTCTATAAACTGAGAATACTAACAGTGGCCACTCCATATGGTTGTTAGGATGTTGAAATGATTAGCCAAGATTCTGCCATACAGTGTGTTCAATAATGATTATGGAAACATCATCTTAATATCCATTTTGCAGCTTTAGGGTAAGGAGTTCATGACTAGCATGGGGCTGAGCCAGGCCAGCTCTGGGATCCTAATGCCAAAAATGCTAGACAATAGCTGCTCAGATCCAGGGGCCTTACCCTGGAGTCCCGTGTGAGGTCTCCACCTAGGCGAACTTCTAAGGTCCGAGCTTTGCTCTCTGCCTCCCGTGCCTTCTCCTCAGCTGAAATCCAGAAGAAACCATGAATAAGGAATACAAAGGTTCAAAAACTCTTAATCATCCCCCCTGAATCCCACAGTGTAGTACCCGCTGGGCAAGATGTGTGTACACTGTCAAGGAACAGGAGAGCTGGGAGAGCAACCTCCAACCTCCCTGCCTGGAATGCAGTCAGTACAAAAAGGAAAATCCTTTTGTTTGGAGGTCCCAAACAAAACAGGCACTATTTATACTTGAGACATATTTTTTAAACTTTACAAATGAACCAGAACAGGTCAAAAACTGCCCAAAGTAACCAGAGTTACATCCTCAGCAGGAGCTGGAAGTTATCCAAGTCCTCAGCCAATCACTCTCCATCAAGCAGCCAAGAAGCCCTGTCAGCATGAGAGACCTTGAGATGTTTGCCCTGGAGTCAGGAAAATCAATTTCGCAAGTATTTGGGCCAAAGAAAAGTGTGAGATTCTTCACTCTGAGCAAGCCAAGGAGTTGACACTGTTTTAGTTAAGTCCCTATAAATGGCTGATGAAGAGAAAGTAGAGTCTGGGGAGAAAAACTGCTGAGACGATTGGCATGCAGGGGTGCAAGAGGAACTAGACCCATGGTTCAGAACAGCCTGCCCCTGGGTGATAGACAGAGCTTTTTTTGGATCCTGCTTTGGCCACAAGTATCCCCCAGACAATCCCAACCTGATCCCCCCACCTGCCCAGGGGGGTGGGGGGTGCACATTACCAATCCGTGCTACATGCTCAGCTTTCTTCACCTCCTGCTCTGCACGAGTCTTGAAACGGCTTGATGTGTACTTGTACATCCTGAAGAGGGGAAAAAGCAACCTCAAGACCCAAGCAGCAGCGGGGTTGGGCAGCAATTGAGCAACTCAGGAAGCACCCTGCCTTCCTGCCCCCTTCCAAGCTGCACTGTACTCATGATGAGTCAAAAACAAACTTATTTTATTTTTTTTAAAGATTTTATTTATTTATTAGAGAGAGAGAGCATGCACAAGCAGGGGGAGCAGCAGGCAGAGGGAGAAGCAGACTCCCCGCTGAGCAGGGAGCCTGATGCAGGACTCGATCCCAGGACCCCGGGATCATGACCTGAGCCAAAGGCAGATGCCTAACGGACTGAGCCACCCAGGCGCCCCAACAACAAACTTATTTTTAGCAAAATATCCAATTCCTTACTCCACTTGCCCCTTTCTCCATCTCTGATAAGCAACCCCACTACACACCAGGTATATCAATAACCCCACAGCAGAAACAAATCTCAGCAATCAGCCAGGGCCTTTGCTCTCTCCTGTGTAATGTCTAAAGGCCCCTTGGTCCTGAAGCTGAGAGGCTCAGACTGTTCACTATGCCAGGCAGGGTACCCTCCATGTCACAGAAGGCACTCACACTCAACAAGCTTCACCAGCCAACCTCCACAGCTCATCAGCCATCTGTGTCCCTCCCTCAAGACTTAGAAGTTTCTATGCAGTAAATCACAAGTAACTTAAAGGCCCAAATGCAGTCAACACTGTCAGAGCCTCTTATCATCACTCCTAGCATCACTCAAACAATGCCCCCGAGAAATACAGCCACGGCCCTATTCTCAGCTCAAGGGAACAGCAGACCAGGGTGGGCAGACCCCTACCTGGGCTTATATAGGCAGCAGGAGAGCCTCTTGGTCTGCACCTTGTGCCCATGGATGAAGATCCGCATCCGGGGATCAATATAAAGCACAGCAGCATAGGCACGGAAGGAGCGCCGCTCTGGCTTCCTAGAGGTGGCAGGAATAGAGGAGTGCTATCACCCACCCCACGACCAGCTTGACCAAAGATATGACAGAACAGCCTTTCTGCAGACCCTCCACCTCACATGTTGGCTTTTCTCACCACCCTGAAGGGTTGCTCCCTCCGTGTGGGGAGCACACCCTTCACATCCCCAGCACAGGCACTCCACAGACATCAGACCCAGCCTTACCACTGGCCCCACCACAGACCCAGCAAAACCCATCCTGTCTCTAGGCTCAGTTTCCAAATCAAGGAGTTGGGGCAAGGGACCATTAATCTTTTCTTTTGGCTTAGCTGAGGAGCTGCGGTCCTATTCATCCTGTTTGTGGTAAGAAAACTTGGGAGTGCTCAGCTTCATCAACTCCAATACCGGGAAATTCAGCGAATGAGCCCCACCCCCTCTTCGCTATTAAAGTCACCTCCTGAGCTTTCTCTCCCTGAGAAAATGGACCACCAGTTCCAAGCCTTCCCTCCCTTCCCAGCCACACTCACGTGCCCTCTGGGGAAGTCTCTGCCATCTGGATATCTCTTGGATTTGAGATTATGTCTAGCTCTGGCTCTCCATTATCCATGAGTTTGAGATTGAAGATGATCACCAGTGTTCCTGGGAAACAAATCCTCCTTTTGTCCTGCCAGGCACCACCTGGTCATCCCCATACCACTCATGGCTCCTGGATTCTAGGGGCTGTAAGCTCAAGCCTACTTACCACTGTCTCCAGGAATCTTCATGAACTGAGTCATAACTTCCTCTTCATTGCGGAAGGGAGAATACTTGTAGATGAGTTCTGTCTCAATGGCAAACTTCTCCACGTTGTCTGTGACAGGTTCCCGGGTCCGAGCATTCCAGGTGGGCAATGGGACTATCACCTTTGGAGAAAGCACGGGCAGACACTTTGAGGGAGGACCCAGAATAGCCTTCCCCCAAAATGTGCATCCATCTTGTCCCTCTCCACAGTGGCTCCACATTGCCCCAGAGGTGAGGTCCAAGCTTTGCAGCCTGACACCAGAGGCTCTGTGGCTTCTGCCCTTCCCAAGCCTCAGCCTCACAGCAGAAGGTCCTCTGGGATATACTGATTTATGCCCTGGGGGTCTTTGCATGGGCAGTTCCCTGCTTGGGATGGCCCTGGCCATTCTCCCAATCTGATATCAATTCTTCTCTCTCTACTACTGAAAAGATATTTGTACTTATCTCGTGAATCTGAAGATACATATAAACATACAACTCAGCAATTCCACTCCCAGGTTCTGGGAGTGTCTTCTGCACACATGTACCAGCAAACATGTAAGAGTAATATAAATATCCAAAACAGAATGGATAAATTACACTATCATATATTTATACAATGGAATAGGGTATAGTAATGACAATGAACAAACTAATAGCTATTAGCATCAACATGCATGGATCTCAAAAACAACGTTAGGTGAGGGGCGCCTGGGTGGCTCAGTCGGTTAAGGGTCCGACTCTTGACTTTGGCTCAAGTCATGATCTCAGGGTCATGAAATCAAGCCCCACGTTGGGCTCTGTGCTGGGCATGGAGCCTGCTTGAGATTCTTTCTCTCCCTCTGCCCCTCCCCCTAACTAAAACAAAAACAACAAAAAAACGTTATGTGAAAAAGACAAAATAGAAAAAAAAAACAATCTATGGTACGAGCCCACTTAAATAAACGTCATAAAATAGACAAACTAAACTATTATTCAAGAATGCATACACAACACAGATGCCAAAACTATAAAGAGAAACAAGGAAATAATCATTACAAAAGTTACCTGAAAGCGGTTCCTTCAGAGGTACAATAAGGAATACAATTAGTGAGGGGACACACTGGGGGCTTCTAGTATCAGTCTATTATGGCAACTACCTAGGTGTTCACTTTATAATTATTCTCTCAACTGTACCTGTATTTTAATACACTATTCCATATTATGGAATTTAATCTTATGTTTTTAAAAATCCTACCTTTATCAATTGTACCTCAATAAAATTGGGGGGAAAAAAATCCTACTCTTTCTTCTAAAAACCCTACCCTCAAGTGCTGCACCCAGAGGCTTAGATGTACTCCTCTCCCAGCCAGCTGCCCAGGAGCCCCGTGGATAGATGACTGCTTGATTCCCTCTGTAAAGCAAACCAGTCCAGGCACCTCAAAATCTCAAATCAAATGGCCCACCCTAAGAATAAAGGGATTCTGTATTTTAAAAAGTGCCAGGGTGATAAACTGTTAAGGGTTCTGAGACATTTTACTGGTTTCTAAGAAGCTTTATGCCTAATGGTATTCATCCCTAGAGCTGGTTTGGACACATTCCTACCCAGTAGAAAATGATCTTATTTTGAAATCTTGGCTGAGTTTGCACTGGAGTACAATCCAAAATAGTGACCTTCTAGCACCAAGTAAGGAAAAAATTTCAACCTAGCTTTTTCACCCGGGGAACTGAATTCCATTTGTGTTCTGCGAATCTATACCTGACTCTGCAACCCCCATTCTTCACAGCAGCCCCAGGTGGTAACAGCATTGCTTTAAACAGCATACACTTCCACTGGCACCCATCCCGACCATCAGGACACTTCCTTAATTTCAATGTGACCACTCTCCTGGTTTTCCTCCTACCCATCTGGTCACTCCTGTCTCTTCTGCCACCTTCTCCTCTCCCTGGAGGAAAGTATCCCTGAGATCCCAGGTCCTCTTCTCACTCTGAACACTCCTTTAGGTGAGCTCATCTGCTACCAAGGATCCCAGAGCCCAGGCCTCCCAAGCTCACGACCCAAACTTAACTTTCCATGTCCAGGAGAACTTACACTCTTCACCAAAGAGCAGGATGCTACTCTCTTTCATTCTTCACCAGCTCCAAACAGCCCACATCATGCCCCAGCTACCACACCAGAACCTACATCATTCATGACCCTCCTCCCTTTTCCCCTCTCCAGTGATCAAACACCAGATTTGTGGGTCCCACATGTTAAAGGACCTCCCTGCTGTGGTCCTGCCAGGCTACACACAGCTAGGGAACCTCAACTAGTTTACACCAACTCCTGTCTTTTCAATCCAATCACCACACAATAACAAAATGATTTTTTTTTTTTTTTTTTTTTTTGAGAGAGAGTGCAAGCAGGCAGGGAGGGGGAAAGGGAGAGAGAGAGAATCTAAAGCAGGCTCAGCACTGGGCATAGCCCAATGCCGAGCTCCATCTCATGCCCTGAGATCATGACCTGAGGTGAAATCAAGAGTCAGATCCTTAACCGACTGAGCCACCCAGGGGCCCCACCAAACTGATTTTTAAAAGGGAATCTGATACTGCCACACCCTTGCTTAAGTTCCCTTTGAAGGCTGGTGTTAGTAAAGTCCTGTACTCACCAAGGCCCTGAGGTCAAGCTTGACCTAGCCCTCCCTGCTGTCCAGAGGCCACCACCTTTCTTCAGGTAGTCCCTCTGCCAAGTCCCTTCCTACAGCCCTCACCCTCCCTGTTCAGGGCCTTGAACAGACTATTTCCATGGACTTGACCCTCCTCCCACTACCCACAGTCCATCAGGAAACATTCCTGAAAACCACAGCCTGGGCAAAAGTTCTCCTGCCCTACCTTCTCCCAGGAGCGTTCTTTCCAGCTGTAGCAATTCTCTCACTGCATGTATGATAGATGAACTGACACAGTGCACCAAAAAGGCAAACTAATCCACTGGCTTGCCAAGTAACGGTGGTGGAAAAAGACAGCCTTTCACTCCCACCATGAACTAATTTGCTATGATTTAAGCTCACATCTAAATAGGGCCAGCACAAATCTAATCACAGCCAACCAAGAGAGATTAATCAGATTAAAACCCTGACTAAATTCACCTATCTGGGGATTTCTCTCTGCAGACCCTCTCAGCCCCCTCTCTACAGCTCTGGCCACCACCTCCCACACATGAAAGGAGGAAGAGTCCAGTCTGAGGCTGGGCAGACTAAAACTGTGTCTGATACCCCCTCTGGTGAGGAAGCACAGACCTTACCAGACCAACTCCGTAGATGGCTGAGCCACCAGGCAACAAAGAGAATCAACTGAGCATGTGTTTAGCTTACATAATTACCTAATTACTGAAATGTTTTAAAATCAGAATATTCCAAATTCATTAGGACTTCTTTCCAGCATAGCAATGATGAGCTAGGGCTAAGTGTCATCTGTCATTTAGCAAAGAACTTACAATGTTTTCCATATACTCACCTGCTTCACTACCTGCCCAGGCCCCACAAGTATCTTACTTGTACCTTCTGATATAGACGATTAAAACAACATATTTCTTCAAAAGGAAAATACATTCATAGCACATTCCACAAAATCACCATCATATGGGAAAGACAGTGCTGCTCCTATTATTAGTTCCTATTACTACTGCACGTTGTGATCTCCACCCACAGTAAAGAAACCAAAACACTCCCCTTGATAAAACTCTTCATATTAACACCCCGCCAGACTAAATTTAGGCCGCAGGTCTAGAGAAGCTGCAAATCCAACTCTTGGTTCCTGCCATCCTGATGGCCTCATTCTCAGAAACAGGACAACTGTTCTCTAAAGCTTTGAGATTTTTACTTCCTCTCACACTAAGAGGTCTGCCTAACCCCTCAACCAGTTCATCCAACCAGCTAATCCCGTAAGGGGGCATTGCTGCAATCCTGCAACCCCAATGAGCCCAGCATCGCAAATAACCTAAGCAGACCCAGGAAATGTGAAATGATGACTTAGGCCATGAGGATAGGACCTACTTCATCAATGCCTTCCTCCTCATGAAAGGTCCGAGACAAAAAGAGGCAGGTCATGGTGTCTTCCTTCTTGGTGAAGAGTATAAAATCCTTCCCAATGCGCATTGAGCCCCTGAAAGGAAAGCAGAAATGGGTTATTCTCCCAGGGATTCAAAAACTCATCTGAAAAAGAGCAAATTCACCCTCTGGACATGACTGAAACTGCCTTTGGAGGGCTCTCCTCAAGACCTCCCTCCCTCGCAGGACCCTGAGATGAGGTCCACAGTCCTCATTCCCTCTGCTCTTCCATCAGCCTTCACTGTTCCTCATAACCAGCCTGACCACACTTACCCACCGTACAAGGCTTCCCCACCACCCTTCTAGGGCACACTGACCACGGATCGTCAGCCCCAAGTTAACTCCCGACCTGCTGCACATAGTAAGTAACCCTGCTGCCCATGCACCAGGTTCATCTCAGCTACACAAGGACTGCTGTACTCTTTGTGCCACCATCAGATTTCTCTCCAGGAACCAATACCTTCAACACATCATCTTCCATGCTGACCACATCCAGTTCCCATCTGATCCTTCCTTTGTTGACACAAACTCCCTTCTCATTCACTCATCAAATGGCAGTACCATCAAGGGCACAGCCCACAGTCTACACTCATAAGTCCTCAAAAAAAAACAAAAACAAAAACCCAGTATGATCCCAAGTCTCAGCCAAATATAGGGGCTAACCATACACAACATAATTCTTCTTAATCATAGTTTTTAAGGCCTATAATTAGCTCATGTCCTGTAACTACAACCATCTTCTGTCTCAAAATTGTTTTGCCACCTCAAGCTCTTTATGACAGAGGCGGTCCCTGCTTTCAGATGCAATTGGTTTCTGGGAAATGTGCCTTGAGGCTGGGTTCCACAAGGCAAAAGTCCGAATGGAATCAACTGCTTCCTTCCTGTTTGGCCACATTAAATCATCTGAGAAACAGGCAAGGACAGGCCTTTCTGGGTAACATGGAACAGGGCAGAAGTTCCAACAGTTCATTGCCCAGTGAACAACAGGGCTGTTTACCTCCTTTCTTCTGAGCAGCTTCTGGGGCTTTATGGCTATTATCTCATTAGTCTTCGTAATACCCCAGGGAGGGGATGGCAGTGGAAAGCCTCATTACTCTCTTCATTGTACAAATACAAACCAGGCTGGCATGCCAAACACATAAATGAATGCCATGTCCCATTTCCCCAAATGCTCAGGAAAACGCCCAGGACACTATCCAGAGACACCGCGGGGGCTGCCAAGTTCTCTTTCTCCTCTTCCAGTTCCCAAGATGCTGGCAATGCTGCTTCCTCTGACAGATTTCACAGCCCTCCTCCTTCTTCCCTGAAGCTTATGGATAGCAAAATGAGGCATATTACCTTGTCTTCTGTCAAAGCTTGTTCTTGCCCTAATTTGGCAAAAACTCTCACTTTGTGCTTCCTTTCTTCCCTCTTTGATCCTGACCTTGGAGGCTGAAGAGCAACAACCCCAAAAATGCCACCTCTCTGCTGGTTTCCTTGCTTCTCAGCCCTATTCTCACCACAAATCACTCCCTCTTGAAACTCTTTTTCAACTTCTGGTTTCAAAATAAATACACTCTCAACACTAGATGGCTCCAACTCAATGCATCCTTTACGAAACTCATTCTACTAAAATATGCTAATGAGAACACTCTCAACTTCCTAGTCTTCTAAGCACCGTCAGAGTCATATTTAGTTTGCGCCTCAAACTTGCTCTGTAAGGGAGAATGTCAGAGAATAGAACCCCGTTTTCTAGATTAGAAAACAGATATTCAGAGACGTGAAACAGCTTGCCTGCGGCCACAAAACTGCTAAGACCAGGTAGGAGGAGGCTGGCCTACAATCCAGATGGGAAGTCAGGACTTCTTTCGCACTGACTCTAAGAGACCTCAGTTACTGGGATTTAGGGCACCAGCACCAGAATCACTTGCAGAACCTAACCTATAGATTCCTAGACCCTACCCTAGACCAGGAATCTGCTAATGGAAAGAACAAAGGAGAAATAAAATAAGAATCCAGAAACTAGTCTAAGGCTCTCAAAGCAATGACAGCATTTAATCCTTAACTTACTTGGCACATATTATAATCCCAATCTACAAAGGAGGAAACTGAGGCTCAGAGCAATAATTAAGTGGCTGAGATGAGATTTGAATTTTAATTTGCATGACTGAAGTGAGATGGATAACAGCTCCGGCTTTGCAGTCAAAAGGACCTGGTTCGTATCTCAGCTCTACACTCAGGCAAATATTTGTATACCTCTGGGCAAATCACTTCATCCCCATAAATCTCAATTTCCTCATTGGAAAATGAGAATAAAAAATGAGAACAGGAGCGCCTGGTGGCTCAGTCATTAAGCATCTGCCTTCGGCTCAGGTCATGATCCCAGGGTCCTGGGATCGAGCCCCGCATCGGGCTCTCTGCTCAGCAGGGAGCCTGCATCTCCCTCTCCCACTCCCCCTGCTTGTGTTCCTTCTCTCGCTTTGTCTCTGTCAAATAAATAAAATCTTAAAAAAAAAATGAGAATAGGAGGATTAAATAAGATCATCCAAGTAAAGTTTTTAGCACAGTGCCTGGCACATGGTAAGTACTTGTTATTACCATTTGGTTTCTCCCCTGAAAGACAAATCAAAAAGTCCAGGTACCATGTCTCCGATGTCTTTGGAAGCACGCTCTTTCCCTGCCACACATCTAAAGCATGCTGCATGTGAGGGACAACTGATACTGTTGACTGACCAAAGCACCACCCTCTAACAAAACAACACGTTTCCACAGCAAGACTGGAAACGTGACTCAGAATTCCATTTGTACAAACTCCAATTCCACTAAATCTTACTCCGTCCAAAGGTATGTACAGCTGGAAGTGAGCATTTCAGAAATAGAAACCTTTCTCTTGGGGCTTCACTCAAAACCAGAACAACACATTCCAAACACCAAACAAGTGGGAACCAAGGGCTGAGAAAGAAGTCCCAAAGGATCTGAAGACATTAGGTAGGTCCCTGCTACAGGGTCTAGCAGGACACAGAAGTGGAGACCATGTCCTCTGAGAGGGAGGGTTCAGATCTCTATTACTCACTCTGGATCCCCAGTGCCTGGCTCAAAGCATGACATGTGGCAGGTGCTCAAGGAACACTGCTGTGCCATGAAGCAACCCCTTTAGCATCTCAGATACATCCGAACCCCCCAAAACAACCACTTGCATCCTCAAACCACAGGGTAAAAATAAGAATTTTCATCAGGAGGAGAAATGCGGTTCCAAAGCACATTGCCAAGAGAAACCTATAGCTTGCTTCTCTCACCCCAAATGGTTTAGGATGTTCATTCTTTCAATCTGTAAGGAAAACTTGGCTGAACGACAGTTGCTAAGTCCCAAAACTACTACTTCTTTCTGACTTAATTCTTCCGCTCCAGAGTTACACTAATGGAAGGATAAGGAATAGAAAGTTTTCATTGGACAACAGCAGGAGAGTACTGCTTGATTCTGTATTGAGTCCCACGACAGGCTTCTAGTATACTTACGATTTTAACCCATTCCCATATTGCCCAATCTGGGTGGACTCAGGTGTTCGTTTGGCTGACTTCCCAAACTGGATCACACTGGCAGCATCACCTGAAGTGACAGGCACAAAACAAAGTGAAGCATTTGCATTTCTTCCCCAGGATCCTCAAAAATAAAAGGTCTGAGCCTTGTTAAATCTGAGCAGGGCTGTGTGTCTACTAAAACCACTTCCCAAGGAAATTCAGAACCATGAAGCAAATGGAGACAACCTCTGACTGGCCTGTTAGTACCACCATCACTATGACTTTATTCTGTTACCAGAACATGGTATGAAGGCTGAGGGAGGCCTCTGTAGTTCCAGCTCCAGGATGTTGTGCAAGTTGATAAATACAATGTCAAGAGACAGGTAATCTGACTGACTTCAGGTTGCCATTCAGATCCTATCTCCCATGCTAGGACAAGACCTGACAAATCCATTAGTGGAATTAAGCCTGAGATGTTGCAACAGACCTCTCTCTCTCCAGGTGGATCTTCTAGTCACAATAGTTAGGCAACAGAAAAACAACACAATGAGTATTTAGTAAAAAGAGTTACATCCTCCCCAAAAGAAGAAATCTCATCACTTACTTGGATCCATTCCTGCTCCATCATCCAAAAAGCAAAGCATAAATCCTCCTCGAAGGTCCTCTCGCCTTTCTGTAAAAGAAGCAGCTGCCATTACTGGGTAGTTACCTACCAGAGGGCGCCAAAATGGGTAAGGTCAAAGGTGGATCAATGTGACATTTGGCCCAAAAACATTAGGACAAACCTAGCTCCTCTTTCTAATAGTCTATTAGAAGGTACATGTCGGGGTCCTTGAGGGTGGACATTACTATCAAAGGTTCTCCAATGCTTTCTAGTTAATGACAAAGATTGACAGAATCTTTTGAGGGCAGGAAATACCTGGTCCACTAGATTAACCACCAAGCAGGAAGCCCAACTCAGGGCTCGATTCCAGGACTCTGAGGTCATGATCTGAGCCCACCGTCTGAGTCACCCAGACACCCCTGAATATGCATGTATTTAATGCAAACCTCAATCATCCTTCTGCCTCTTTCCACCTGGATTACTTCCACCTCCGCCCTCCGCTATGGACCCCAAGTCACTAAAGTACTCCAACTACAACACACTGTACCTTATCAACACTGCTCAAATTCAACAGGGCATCTCCTTTGTGGGTTAAATCTGGGGTAGCCTTCAGACAATGTGATCAAGCCAGACATGCTGTGGGCACAGTGGTGGCAGTTACTATCCAGAGAAACTGCTAAGTCTGTGTATGACTACCCCCAGGCTAACTTGAATTTCTGGGCTATCTGTATTCATTGCCACATCCTCTGCTTGCTATGGGTCCCTGAAATGACTCCCTAACCTAGGAATATAATGGCACAACATGCAGTGAGAACTGCCTGGTTCCCAGCTGGACTTGCTCAACTAGAAGGAAGAATAGTCTTTTGACAAGAGGATTAAGTCCTTTGACAGTGCAGCCATGGCAGGGCTTCCTGGTTGACAGAAGGGGAACAAAACAAACTGGCTGCCATTTCAGTGGGTCTTCTGCAGCAGTAGGTGGTTACTCAAAGTAGTATCGGTCTAAGCATGTCACAAACACTAAAGAAGAGATTCCCAAATAGAGAAGGGGGCGATATTGGAGTTTCCAAGGTGAGGATTATGTTGACAAAGGAGAACAGCACAGGCTTTGGAATCAGGAGATCACTTCTACTAAAAGGAAAAAGTCTATGTAAGGGACTACAGGGACAAGCCCAAGGCTGCTTTGGAGCCTAGTTCCCGATTACTTTTTTGTTCCCCGCAAGCTGTGGTTCACTAACTTTATACAACTATCAAAGCTGAGGAATCCCAGTTTAAAATACTCTTTGTCCTCCCCTTGGGCTAAAGATTCAAGTGAGTCATGACCACCCTCTGTTAAATTGACTAGTTAGTGTAATTTAAAACGCAATTTTAAAAGTACTATAAACCACAGATTTTCAAGTATCACTAAGTGTTCAGGAAGCTGACTTTGCTGAAACATTAATAACAAGTGCTTCTTGAAAGTTCAAGAGCAAGGACCTTCCTGTTAAGCATTTACGGCAGATAAGAAAATTTCTCCTTATGGCAGTGCCTCTTATCAGTGTGGAGAATCCAAGTGAGATCTAGTTAAGCATGAGCAAGTGCAAGAAAAGTGCAAAAAGGCTTCAAAGTTTCCTTCTGGAGGAAGCAAAGTATTACATGGAAACTCAAACTAGGACAGATACAGAGTATGGTAAAAAAAAAAAAAAGTGTTCTAAATCTAGCCAAGAGCCATTTGTTGTACACTTCAGCCATAAAACATTCATGAAGATTCTGCTTTGGAATCTAGAAATTGGTTCAAGCCAACTGGCATTCCTTGAACACTATATAGAAAATTACTGCAAGGCCTCTGTGTTTGTTAGGCACATAATCATCACTTAACAGTGGGTCTGAGATCCCTTCCTTGTTCAAGGACTTCATTTAAATATTTTTCATATGGTTTACAAGGGTAAAAGTTCCACCAGTAGAGGATCCTCCTGGCCACATAGTGATCAACAGCCTGTAAGCAGCTAGTAGTACCCAAGTCCACATGATCATAAGCAATACTGCCTCAGGGCCAAGAAAGACTAGCTGACACAGCAGTCACTTCTTCAACTTTGGAAATAGGCAATGTGGCATCATCACCTGGCTACAACGCTTATCCTGATCACTTGTTTATTCAATGAGTATTTACTGAGCACTTCCTCTGTTCCTGGCTCTGTGATAAAGACAGTAGTAAACAATGCAGATATGGCCACTGCCTTCATGGAGCTTACAGTCCAATAGATGCTACTCTCTGTAGCAAATCAGTTAAGCAGAAGGGTTTAAGCAGGAGACTAAGAGTAACAGCTAGAACAAAATGTATTGTGCATAACAATCAGTTGAAGAGCTTGTTAAAAATACAGATTTTGGGCTCCACTCCACAAAGTCTGTGTGGGTTTGAGGAGGTACCTGAGAATTTGCATTTCTAACAAGCTCCCACGCTGATGCTGTCCATCAGTGGACCACTCTGTGAGAAGCACTAAGCTAGAGAATCAAGAACCAGACAGCTCAAAACTATCTCCCTAGACATCCCACCAGTCAGAGATGTATTCCTAACACCTGATATTTACTTATCAGTCAGTTGAGTGTTATCTGAAGCCTCCAAGCAAAGGATTTTGATGAAGTAGGGGGAGTTCTAGAGAGAGGAGAGTCTAAGCAGCTGGGTGTTGTATGCTCCCACTCCCATCATACACCTTGGAAGCAAGACAGGGAAGGCAAAGCCAAACTGCCTTCTTTATAGTTGTGCTTCAGATCCTGGTAGCAGCTATGTAAGATTATCAGAATGAGTTTGGAAGGATGCACATCTAAGCTCCCCCCAATATGGCCAAGTCTGGCTTCTCCAAATTAGCCTGACATCATCCCATCAGCCAACTCCCACTGGGGAGAAGACAGAAAGAAGCAGGAGACGAAATGTATAATGGAACTAATAAGTCAAAAATCAGAGATGAGAAAATAATATTGTCCTTAGCAGAAGTTGTAATAAAATGATATCCAAGTTCTTCATTGTTCTTTTACAGTCTGAGCAGTATTCATTTCAGTTACATGTGCTCTAATTTTCCACTTACTAACCATGGTTTAGCATCACAAAGGGGATCTTTCTTTGAGGAATGGCACTGCCTATCCAAGGAAGTCAAGAAAGTCAGTAAAAATATGGAGTCTACTTCTGACAGGCACATTATTGTCTGGCCCATCTAATAGGAATGCTTTGGGTAAATGAATACCTCCACACTTTAGGAGTCTGGTTCCTTTGTCACCCTTTTTTTAAAACATGACTTTTTAGTGAATTCAAACTAAATCTGATGTTTAAGGGGATTTCCAAGGTCAGTATCAATCTAGTCTCAGAATGGGAGACAGGAAAATACTTTCCCCCGTGTACTGACAATAAGAACTTTATAGTTATTAGGGTATTACTAATTTTATCATTGTACTCATAAAATGAGATTGCTTTTATTCCTCCTGTTGAATGTGTTAATAAGGCTCTGAGGTAGAAAAGTGTGAAGTTGGGGCACCCAGGTGGCTCAGTCGTTAAGCGTCTGCCTCCAGCTCGGGTCATTATCCCAGGGTCCTGGGATCAAGCCCTGCATCAGGCTCCCTGCTCCGTGGGAAGCCTGATTCTCCCTCTCTCACTCTCCCTGCCTATGTTCCCTCTCTCGCTATGTCTCTCTGTCAAATAAATAAAATCTTTAAAAAAAGAAGAAAGAAAAAGAAAGAAAGAAAGGAAGAAAGAAAGAAAAGTGTGAAGTTAAAAATATCTCAGCCAAGATACCCAATCTTGAGGTATTTGGAGAAAATCAAGTCTTTTTCTAAAATGCTGTAGTGTGGGGTGCCTGGGTGGCTCAGTCATTAAGTGTCTGCCTTCGGCTCAGGTCATGATCCCAGGGTCCTGGGATCAGGCTCCATGCTCTGCGGGAGGCCTGCTTCTCCCTCTCTCACTCCCACTGCTTGTGCTCCCTCTCTCACTGTGTCTCTCTCAGTCAAATAAATAAATAAATCTTTTAAAAAAATAAATAAAAAATAAAAATAAAATGCTGTAGTGCTTAGTACTTCTATCACACCATTTAATCCTTAACTGCCTTGACAGTTCCCTCAAGATCAAGTTATTGTTCTCTAGTCATCTGCAGAGTGCTAACTGTCTTCTCCAATTAAAGACTTAAATTCTCTAATGAGAACTTAGAAAAGGCCCCATCACATCCTCTCTGGACTCTTCCCAAAGCACAACAGGAGTAAGAACACCGAGCACAGAATAAATGCACAGTGGGCTTTTTTCATTTAAATTGAAATCCAACCGTTCTGTTGCATTCTGAGTGTAAAGGATTAAATTTTCTTAGTGAAATTCACCCACCAAAGGTGGTAGGAGGAGGCAGGGATGACCTGTGTTTAAAATGCTTCTTTCAAGTGGACTCAGCTATGATGATTTGTCCTTTCAATGTCACTTGGAGTAGAGGCCCATTCTCTGCTTTACCATCTGTGCAACGATTAAAACAACATTTCTTTCAGAGGCAGCTGTAATTGCTCCTCATTAAAGTACACTTGAGATGTAAGATGCACACTGTGACTTGGGAATGGTGCCTCCATTTGGCCTTAGGGTTTAAGTAACAATCTTCTAACACTCTTCTGCCGTGCCTCTGAGATGTATCCCTAACACCTGATATTACTTTGTTCCTTTCTTCTAAAAATAAAATAAGTCTTATTTTCACCACTTTGGCATAGCCTTTTGAGCAGAAGGCTTTCAGAATTTAAGCAGTACAGCTGACTTTCAGCTGTTCTGAATTTTCTTTGCTCCAAAGTATATCAGAGATGAGAAAGTCATCCTATCTGGGAGATTCTTCATAAAATTATGTAACATTGGAGGTTCTGAAAATTACCTCTTAGTTTGCTTGTTCCCATTTATGAAATGAGTCCACAAAGATGGGTTATTTGGTAAGTGTATATTCCCACAAAAACACTTCAGTCTTCTCAGAAGCTAGTCAATGTTATTCAAGACTTCAGAAAAGTTTGTCAGAGACACATACTACGCTAGCCAAATTGGATTTAAAAGCCATCTTCCTCTATTTTGCTTCCAAATTTCTAGCATTCAAATGACCAAAAACATGCTGGTACATACACTTAACAGGCAGAAAGCAAACTAAAAATAATAATTTAAAATTTTTAAAAAGCCAGTGATAATGACTAAGAATTATTCCACTATTGCACCCACCCCAGAAAAAAAGAATCTTACTACCAAACAGCAGAGCCAATTAAATAAGCAAAACAGGAGACACCATTAATAACATCTTTAAATTCCGGGGTGCCTGGGTCGTTCATTTGGCTGAGCATCTGACTTTGGCTCGCATCATGATCTCAGGGTCCTGGGATCAAGCCCTGCATCAGGCTCCCTACTCAGCACGGAGTCTGCCTGTCCCTCTCTCTCTGTCTCTCCCCCATATCGTGCACTCGCTCTCTCTCTCAAATAAATCTTAAAAAAAAAAAAAAAAACAAACTTTAAATTCCAAGCAAAGCAGCTCTCCTTCCTGACACCTCTGCCTGAAAACATCTCCTTAGCAAACCCCAGTGCCAACCCAGTTAACCCAAATGTTTTATGCAACTGACACCAGCAACTCTCTAAGTCCTCCCTGAGGTTGCAAAGAGAGAAACTGGCCTCCAAAAGGATCTCTCTTTGGCTCCAGGTACCAGTAAAATCAACCGATCAGTAATCCAACCAGTAAAATCACCAGTACTTGGTCACTTCACTCCCCACTACTCTACTCCATCATCCCATAAATCTCTCAGTGGCTATCTAAATAGATCTATAGGGGCACCTGGGTGGCTCAGGTCATGATCCCAGGGCCCTGGGATGGAGCACTGAGTCAGGCTCCCTGCTCAGCCTGCTTCTCCCTCTCCTCCCTCCTCATGCTCTCTCTCTCTAAGTAAATAAATAAAATCTTTAATAAATAAATAGATAGATAGATCTATAGATCTGGGAACCACATGTTAGTTTCCTTACACCAATATTCTTGGTTTCTATTACATGCCTGACCAGAGCTGCCCTATTTCTACCCTATGACCTGGAGTAATCCTGCCATCTCCCCAGGCTCTTAGGCATTTCTTCTTAGGCATAGCCATACATGCATTCAAAGAACTGAACATCAGAAGAAAGGACTGACGTCTGACTTACCAGCATAAATATCTATTCTGGTGGCATCCGCATCTCTGCAAAAGAAATCAAGATCCAAATGAAATATGAAATATCAACCATCAAAATACATAGTATTTTAAGCGAGATGCATACTATTTTAAGTCTGTTTTTAGGAAGTCACACAGAAATTCTGTATCCATTAAAATACGCTTTCATACTTGGCAACACTATTTTCCTTATGTGTCTGTAAGACAGTTCTGAAGCTCTAAATTATTTAAAATAACCACATGACACATAGGGTCTGGACACATCTTTTTAATATGGATTTCAGATTTCGCAGTAAAAATAGAGGATGAAAGAACATTCCCCTTTACACACTAAAAAATGACTCACAACTATATTTCTCTCACTAATTTGATAGCCATCATAAAAAAATGTTCCAATAACTTGTCCATTTTTCTTTTGTACTAGATACTGGAAAGAAAGAAAAACATCATCTGCCACAAAACCTACGAAAAATCAGGTCTCATAGTATATACATTACAGTCAGCAGACTAATTGACAAGCCTATAATCTTATCCTCCCTAACCTAGAAAGGAAGTTGGGGCACTCCATTAGACTCCAACCACCAGCTGAAATACAAGTTCAGTCATCAATAAAGGCTTGAAACTAATCTAGTCCAATTCTGCCAACTGCAGGGAAGGAAAATGAGGCACAGAGAGTTTCCTAAGTTCTAAATGCAAAAAACCCACTCAAATCCATACAGTTCTACATGTACCTATTCCCCAAAACATAAAAACAGTTTCAAATATGAGAAAGACGGGCAATATGTGTGCATGACCAGGAACACATACTCCCAGGAATCTCCAGTTCACCATATGATATACAAAAAAGCAGTCTGCCACAGCACACCACAGTCTCACTAAACTAACAAGTGGCAAATTCAAACATAGTTCCAGGGCGCCTGGGTGGCTCAGTTGGTTAAGCGACTGCCTTCGGCTCAGGTCATGATCCTGGAGTCCCGGGACTCGCTCCCTGCTCAGCAGGGAGTCTGTTTCTCCCTCTGACCCTCCCCCCTCTCATGTGCTCTCTCTCATTCTCTCTTTCAAATAAATAAATAAAATCTTAAAAAAAAAAAAACATAGTTCCATTAAGCTACAGCATTTTTAAATTAAATACAAAAATTATGAGTCAACCAGGATTGAAACAAAATGGGAGTTTTCTGATTAAACTGCTGTTAACAAGCACACTTCCATAAACAGTCCGGTGAATAACAATAAAACTAATAATGGTACATGATTATAGTATAAGATACAGATACAAACAGAAAATTACCGGCAAGCTCATTAATTGGGGATGTTTAGAAAGCACTTCTACCAAAAAAAAAAAAAAAAAGTACTTCTCTCCACTCTTACCCTCTTCCTTCATTATTCATCAATAAGCAATGTGTCTGAATTTTATGTTTGCATTCAAAAACAAAACTGAGATAATATTTTCATAATTATTAACAGAATCTTGATTTGGATGTTGCTATTTATCTTTGAGCCAAACCAAACTTCTTTCCAGTCTTACACAGTAACATTTAAAGACTTCCATCACTAAGAACTCAGTATAACACAGTACTAAAGAATTTTTTCCAAGCACAGCTGCTAACAATAGAAGACACTTTGATCAATTGGTGTCACTGACCTTAAAATATACATTCTGAGATCACACATATCTGTGGCATAATTTTAAAAACTTTAAATGGTGTACTGTTCTGACAGCACAAATTAAATCAGATCTTGCCTGTCCCATCAACTTGATTCCTAAGTTTCTATCTTAATTCCCTGCATTTCACTACAATTATCTTGCTCTAATACACAAGGGAAGGTAACTTTGGGGGTCATAAGCTCATTATTTTTAGAAAAAGCAATGGATGAATTAAAGTCAATCAAGTAAACTGGGAGTATCAACTAACTTGCTATTAAAAATACTTCTGGGGTAAGAGACTTCTTAGGAGTGAATTACAGCTGCTTACAGAATTGTCTTCCTCCCACGTCTTCAGAAACAAAGGTCCCAATGACCCAAAAAGTTTTCAAGCACAGACTGTATGCCTAAAGACTACATACCTTGCATTATCAACCAGTTCAGCAAGAGCACCAAACAAGAATTCATGAGTAGTTCTGAAATGATAAATACTAAGAATCAGCAGAAGAATTACAAAATTGAACTATGACACCTAATAAGGTTATAAAATGATAGTTTTTAGGGAAAAACAATCTAAAATTGCCATTTGTGCTGTCAATTTATACTACTGAAATTTAAACTTCCCCACAATTAGAGCCTTTTAAAGGCCTTCTAAACCCCCTCAAATGTTAATCGGGTTCTGCTATCTACTCATGTTTATTCTTACTATGTTAAGAAACCCCCCGAGAAGCATTAAGATTTCTACGTATACTACAGATTTTAAAGCAGTTTTTTTCACTACTCATGTTCTGCCTAGAAAAATGTCTGTTTTATTTTTCACTGCCTTAACCAGCTATCAGTTTCTGCATATCTCTAAGCATGCTCAATGGACAACCTGCTAACATTTTGCTTTACCAATACTTGCATATTATCCATTGGTGAAAAAAGAAAACCCATTTGTTTCTATGCAGTTTGTAAGCAAAATATTCCATATGAAAGTGAGGAGAAAGTAGAGAATCATCTATTTCCTGACATTTCAATTCTAGCTAAAAACCACCTTCTCCACATTAAAGAAAGGAATCGAAGACCCTCTTGTACATATTCCTCTTAGAAGGACAGCTTGGTATATTCTTCCTAGAGTCCCTGATAGCCCTTTTAAGAAGGTCATCTCTCTTCCAGGAGACTGCTCAAAGTTGGGTTAGGTAAATACACAATTACCATAGTATTCAGAACTCAGTAAATATGATATTTATGCAGAAGATGAATCCTTAAATTCTTTCTCCATTTACATTCTCTTTAATTTGTGCTGTTTCCCATAATAGTCCTCTTTAGATGTAAAAGTTAGGATGTGTTCATCTAGAAACCTTGACTTTTGATAAAAAAAAATAAAATCATTAACCTAAATAATACATTACCATCATCAATTTTTCAAAAATAAATTCCTGCTGATTTTTTCGTATACCATTTCAGCCACTAGACAAAGTGAAAATTTCTGAAAATTTAGAATATACCAAAATTAAATAACCAGTGTCTAGGATCTCTGATCACTTACTATATCATGTAAAACAAAAAACAAATTGTAAAATATTTGCTTATAAAATAAACACCCAAAACTGAACTGTCCAGGAACACTGGTTTTCCCTCAAGTAAACCTACAAATTTTTACAATAGCAAATTCTGAATTAAAACTACTAGTTATTTAAAAAAAAAAAGAAGAAAAAGCAGTTCTTGGAATTTTAGGAATAACTTTTTCCCATGAGATCAGTGAATATATCTGCTGCTAATCCACAGGTGGCACAAAGTAGAAATTTATCTCCAATTTACCTAGAAAATAGAGCTCAAATTCTTCTGACCAAAATCCAATCCTTAACTATTTTACATGAAAAGAAAAACAATTTCTAAGAGAAAAACCTGCATAAAACAGATCTTTAATTAAAAAATTTAAGTCTCTATAATCTTAAATTCTTCAAATTATCAATTGAAGAAAAGAGAAGTATTCTGTAGGTTACTACACTAAATAGGGAGAAATGTTAGAAAATTAAGGTGATTTGCTAAAGGTAATATAAATTAAAAGTAAATCTAACATTTGCTCTCAAACTTTCAACCATTTTCCTGTCTTAGAAATGGCTTAGAAACTTACAAAGCGAGTTAGCTTTCTATACTCTAAATGTTTTTAATTTTGAGGTTAGATAAAAATATAAAATAACAAATTCTACTGTAAAAGTTCTCATTTCAGTGAGAACCTGTACTTTAACTATGGTCAAAGAAACTCAGAAATATAGCTCCTGTAACAACAACAAAGAGAATACAACCATAGTAAGAATGGGACTACAACTTGTATGCAGGAATCTTCGGAATAAGTATGTTTAAGAATAAAGTACTGGCCTTTGGTAGTGAGAATAGTGAATACAAATAATCTTGAAAACTAATTTTGATACCCTTTGCCATCAGGGCAAAGAAATAAAAAACAAATGGCAACACTTCTCAGCAATACATATTTCTGACTGCTTCACATGAAAAGGAGAGAGATTCAGAATTCAGTAAGATCTCAAAAGGGCAAGCACAAAGTATCTCTGGCTAAGTTTTCACTGCTTTCTATACAATGTTTAGAAACGTGCCTTATAAATTCAGAATTTAAAGAAAACATTCCAAATGGCCTTCGTTGTTCCATAGAGTATCGATGCTGTTCCACACATACATATTTCAGATAAGTTAACAGATAACTTTAAAGCGTAGCTAATAGATACTTTTGTGATATGTACTGACACATCATAAAAGGGGTCTTTTGTGACAACTGATGGGAAGGGCAGAGACAACACTCATCTTCTCTAGACCTTCAAATGACTGATGGGTCCTACTAACAAAGTCAGAGTTCTAAATATTTCTTAAAATTATAAGAACCAAAATATACCGACATAATTTCTCCTTTTTCAAATAATATTCAGAGACACATTTATTGCTTGCTAGCATTTGAAACAGGTATTTGATTAAATATCAAAGAAAATTATTTTCACAGATGTAAAGATTCTTTGCATGTTATCCAAGAAAGGTCAACCATATGGAAAAAGACAAGGATTCTTAGCAAACTCTCATTTTCAATTGGCTTTTATACTGTTTGTGCCATGATCAAAATAGTTTTGCAGCTCAGCATTTCCAGTGACAAATTCACGGGTAAATCTACTCATTACGTAAGGAAAATGGTGTCCCTATTTATACTCAACCTGAATTCAAGCCAATAGATTATCCACAAGTCCATCACACGGTGATAGCTTCTCCTGTGTTCTTGGAGATGTTGACAACAGTTAACTGCCTTAATTGCTAGAAAATAAAGCTGAGAAACTAGAGCAACCATTCTACATTCAAATGGCTTTAATATATTTAGTGTTAACCCGCATTTCAACTAAGTCCCCAAAAATATTAAGTCTCTAGAGATGGCAGGTTCCTCTATATTCACTACATATATAGATAAAACAAGCCAAAATTATCATATTGCCAAGATAATTTATTAAATGTGCCAACAGAAATAGACACAGAGAGCAGGAATCTTATACTTAAGCATCCTGCTCTATCAGACCACTCAGCAGTACTGCAGTGATGTAAGATATGCACCTTATCAAAAAGGAACATCACCACCACCACTGTATCTGGAATCTAGCACCTAGATTGATCATGCACTTTTTACTAATAGTCACAAAACCCAACACTAAAGAGCAGTAACAGCATAAAACTGTTTTTATTTAAAAATCGTAACATCATTTTATACTAGCAACACCCTGTATTAAAAGGAAGTAGCCTAAAGCTTTCATGTTATCATGAGACTCTCCCAGGCCTGCCATAAATCTTAATGCTAATGTAACCAAAATAACCATCAATTACCCTAGACATCATACAAAAAAGAACAAAAAAAAAACCCTCAAGACAGATGTTTACTGTCTCCAACAAATGCTCCAGAATTTACTAAGAATGTATCTGCCTAATGACTACCACCAAAGAGCAAGCTGCTACACTGACCAACTCTGGTTTATATAAATTATACACTGAATAAATAATCACCATCTATTCAATGTTTACTATGTACCATGCATGAGCTAATTACTTTATAAACATTTTACATAATCCTCAAACTGTTGGATTAGCCCCCTTTTATAGATGAAGAAACTGAGGATCAGGGAAATCAACTTGCCCAAAGACTCAGCCAGGAAGCAGGCAAATCCAAGCTTGGCTGGCTTCCAAGCCCATGCATGCTCCCTCCATTGCACCACACTTTCTATTTTTCTAGCCTGCCTGGGTTCAGCCTGCAAGTCCAAATTACATGGGGGGTAAGCAAAGGGCCATACCTTTCATAATTCACAATATGGCAATATTGTAGATGTCAGACACCCTATTATGGTCTTATGTTTTAAAAATTAGACCAAAGGAGGGGCACCTGGGTGGCTCAGATGGTTAAGCGTCTGCCTTCGGCTCAGGTCATGATCCCAGGGTCCTGGGATTGAGTCCCGCATCGGGCTCCCTGCTACGCGGGGAGCCTGCTTCTCCCTCTGCCTCTGCCTCTCTCTCTCTCTCTCTGACTCTCATGAATAAATAAAACATTTAAAAAAAAAATTAGACCAAAGGAGAAGGTACTGTAAAACAAATCTTCCTATTTCTAAAGGTGACACTGCGTATCACTTAACACAGAAAAGATCCATCCACCATCACTAGGAATAACAAGTCACATCTTACGAAAATTTAAAAATGTTTCCTCTAGAAATGAATTTCCATTCATGTCACCACGATAAATAAATTTTGAAATTGGTTATAAGCTAACTTATCATGGTATTCTAGGGTTCATATTTTCTTCTGGCAGGACTGGACACATCCAAAAATAGACAACTTCAAAGGTGTGACCCAGATTAGAAAATCTAAAGCTTCCAAAATGGTACATCCAACCCTCAAATGTTCATCCAAGCAGGTGGTTCCAATTCAATATGGGTAAGTCAAATTCACAGAAATTCTCGTTTCACTTTAAACAAGTGACTTAACTAGAGCTCAATTCTTGACCTTAGTTCTGTTCACCTATTAGTAAGATAGCAAAAGAAGTAATATTCCAGAACCTCAAATTAAAGGTTTTTGATAAATTGAATAGATCTTCCAAGTAGGAAGTAAACCGTTTGCTTTAGAAGCAAAACAAGCCCTTAAAGGTAAAACTGACTATAGTACTGCCTAATGGTTAAAGACACTAACCACTGTGGCCAAATAAATCTTATTGCCTTAAATCTTGATGCCTTAAATTTGCCACTTAGAAGTTGTGTAATTTTTGGCATATTATTCAATCTGAGCCTGTTTCCTCAACTGCAAAACAGGAATAATCCTTACTCCAGCAAGGTTACTATAAAGATTACACATCTTTAGAAGTAGCAAGAAGCAATTAACTGTTGTAACTATTATTTTATTATCAAATAAAGTCTTTGGGGGAAGCTAGAACAACCCACCCAGTTTCCCAAGTCCCATTCATGGTCTTCCAACGTTTTCATATAGTCTGTCATTCCAAATTTGGACTCTCATTCCACAATTCAGAACTGAAGTAACCATTTATCAAACCCAATCACCTGTGAACATCTAAGTGGCCTTCAAATGCTTGTTCTTAAACATGGCAGTTCAAATATTAAAAAAGGATACTGAAGATTTTGCCCAAGACTGTTATCAACTAGGTAAGCGAGCCTGATCTACAACCTTATCTAAGTGAGTTTCAGATTCATCATCAGTAGCATGAGACTTCACTTAAATGGCCTCTACAGTACCTACTCTAAAACTTTTGAGTTCAATAAGATTCCTAAACAAAAATAAAACCAGGCTATCACCATTTGGCAATTCACTTCACTACCCAGAAAAAACTTATTTCCTTGATCAGAAAAAGAGCAAACAAAAAACTACTCTCATCACAAATAACATATTGTCCTTTCCCACAAAAAACTAAAATTTATTTTACTATTCCTAGATGATTGAAGTCTATATCCTCAACCCTCAGGGTGGTTCGTCAGATCTCTGGGCCATTCATGTAGCTGCTCATCACTTCTCCAGGCACTAAAATGGTAGAATACTTACCTTCATCTCGAAAGTGACAAACCAATGTGTTAAAACACTATGTGGTTATGATCCCACCGAATTACTTCCAAGAGAGTGGGCATAAGAATTAACCCTGAAACATTCCAGGTCAACATGGGATAATGATAATCTCTTCATGAACTCAAGAACCATAAACACATGTGTTCTGTGATTTGCACACATTTTGGGGAAAGGCTAAATTGTGGGTTTAAACAAGCTACCATTTCCTGCTTAGCACATAAAATCTATATTGGATGTAGGGACGAATTTCCCAGGAAGATAAGGCCAACTGTTTGCTGAAAAGAGAAACTAATAATTTCTTCTCACAGTTGTCATTTAAAGATCTTCATTCTTTTTTTTTTTCTTGTTAGGAAAAAAAGACTTGTTATAACCCAACTGTTTTGGCTGTTGTCACTAAAGAGAAACAGTTGATTCTAGAATAGTCCAACTTCTGGCGATCCAAAGAAAAGTATTTGTTGGATTCCTATTAAACACTTGAGTGAAACAACTCAAAATACGGACTTCAAAAAAACTAAAATTTGCATTTGGTCAAATATATTTTGATCCAACAAATGAAGATCATATTCTTCTGGATTAGCAACAAATATTTCACTGATCTCAGTTCTTCAATACAGAGCTCAAGACTCATCCAGTGATACATCCCCAAAAGTAAAAAAGCAGAATTTTCTGGGAAAAGGAGTTCTGTATTATCAAGGAATGAGTTAGCAGTGACCTCAGTGGCACCTAAAGGATACTTACGAATTTGTATGCAGATATTCAAAGGTTAGCTGAGCTCGATTCAGACTGCTGTAATTTGTGAAAGCCATGAGTGCAGTGAGGTCTCCAGTCCTTCACCCACTAACTGGGAAATATAACCTTACAATGGAATAGATTTTGCAGGATTCCTTCCAGTAAAGGTTTGGTAAGTCTGTGCTCCTTACTGTTAAACAAGGTTACCTAGTATCTATCCAAAATATATTCTAAGAGATGTCTATCACTACAATTGATTTCGCTTTTAAGTTTTTTATCTTCTTAATGACTGTGATGTAATATTCTGGAAAAAACTGTTATAAATCTGTAGTCTTAAAGAGCTTTAGCATTCAGTTGCGATAGTTCAAGGAGTTGAATGTAGATGGTCTTGGAGTAGACGGTATTGGAGTTGGAGGTTTTATTACTGCTCCATCTTCACGTTCTTCAAGTTTTTGTGTTCCTCTTAATTTCCGATCAGAAAATTTACCAATCTGGAAATTTATCAACTTCTGTCATAAAACTGGACAGTCTCCCATTTCTTCACCACCAATGATCCCAGGGTTCTTAAATAGGCCCCAGGCTGGCGGCCATGAAGTCGATGGAGTGCATATGGCGTTAGTTCCGGCTTCACCACCTCCCAACTGAAAGGTCCCGTAAGCGCTTAAGATGATTTCTGTTTCCAAAGCCCAGACCCAACCTAGAGTGTGCTCCCGTCCTAATCTCCTCAGGGTAGTGGGTCAAATTACCTCACACTGACCCACAAAAATGCTTCAGAATTGACCCGCCCAAATCACCTGAGGCGGGCAGCGCCCCTCCCCCACTTCCCTCAGACAGAGGCCTCCGGCTCTCAGGCCCTTCCTGGGCCTCGGTTCCGAGGCCGCCGCCTCCTCACTGAGAGGAGTTAGTCCCAGCTTTCAAGGCTCGGATCGAGGGCTGTGTGGAGAGCGCACAACCCGACCGGGCGTTGCCCGGTGCTCAAAGCTGCCTTTGTCCCTCCCCACGGAATTGGAACCCAACAACCGCAGCGCGCTCTTGGAACCATGTGCTGCCTCCGCCGCTGCCGCCGCCGCCGCGAGACCAGCCGCCCACGCGCCGCGCTGGATGAGATGATGACAGGACTCAGCACCACGGAATTCGGCGTTTAGGGCTGCTCTGCCGCCGCTGCCGCAGCCGCCACAGCCACCTCAGCCACGGCTTTGTCTCCGCTACCGCACACAACCCGGGCCGCCTCGCGCACTCCCCGACGCCCCAAGCCCCCGAGGCCTCCGCGGCGCATTCAGCCAATCACAGAGCCGCAGCTCCTCCCGCCCCCGCCCTGATGCGACGCCTCCTGATTGGCGGGTAGCGGGTCTCCACGTGACCGGATCTTGCTAGCCGGGCCCGCCCCTGTCACGTGAGAGCGCGCGCCTCTCTTCCTGCTTTCATGACCCTCTCCGCCATTTAAAGAAACAGTACCGGGGGCGGGCCGAGCGACGCAGCCGGGACGGTAGCTGCGGCGCGGACCGGAGGAGCCATCTTGTCTCGTCGCCGGGGAGTCAGGCCCCTAACTCGAAGAAGCCCTGGCGCGCCCTCCCCCCCTCCCCGGTCTGGTAGGGCGAAGGAGCGGGCGCGCGGTCGATCGAGCGATCGGTTGGCGGCTCTTTCTCCTGCTCTGGCATCCAGCTCTTGGGGCGCAGGCCCGGCCGCCGCGGCGCGCGCCCGGTGGCCGTTGGCGCTCGCGCCGCGTCTTTCTTCTCGTACGCAGAACTCGGGCGGCGGCCTATGCGTTTGCGATTCGACGAGGAGTCGTCCGGGTGGTCGGCGGCGGCGGGCAGCTGCTCCGCCCCGCTCCCGGGGAGGCGGCGGCGGCGGGATTTGGCGCGGCCGGGGAGGCGGGGGTGGCCGGGGCCGGCCTGGAGGCCTGGCGCCACCCTTCGGGGCCTGCAAGGACCCAATTGGGGGGGCAAGAGGGCGCCGGGGGATGGTTGGTGGTGGGCTTTCTACTTTGCCTTTTTCTCCTTATGCCCCCTTAGTGAGGGGCGGGAGCTCTGGCGGCAGCTCCGGGGTGGGGAGACAAGCCCCGGAGTCGGAAGAGCTGGGTTTGCTTCCGGGCCTAGCCACCAGCTGGCCGAGTGACCTTAGGCAAATCACTCTGTAATTTGTCGGCGCCTCAGTTTCCTCCTCTGCTTATCAATGTTTGTGGGGTTGAAAGCGCTTTGTAAAGTATAAAGCGTAGGTGTACGTAAGGGATGATTATTGTTTGTAATGGGGTTTTTTTTTTGAGTTGTAAGAAAAGTTAGCAATTGCCCAGTTCTTGGATTTTGAACCTGGGAACCTTGGATTGAAGTTGGAGATCCCCCAAACTCCCCGAAATTGTATGTAGAAATAGTGGGAGTGTGCATTTTTGGGGACTGAGGATCCATCGCCAGCAAGTTATCAAAGGGGGCTGTAACACAGAAGAGTTAAGAACTACAATTGTTTTATGCCACAGGGAGGAAACTGAGGCCTAGATGTCATTGGGACCCTTCACAACCGATTTGAAGCCCCTGTTTGAATCCCTGGGATATGTGAGCTGTTTCTATGCATAATGGATATTTGGGGTAACAACACTCCACTGCTTGGCTTCTATTCTGAGTCCTTTTCCTTTACCATGGGGTGCCTGAAGGGTGGCTGACACGTTGGTATGGTTCAATGGCACCCAACATAAAGCAGCTAAAACTAAAATGGGTGTGTTCTCTATTATCAAGAAGCCTGTTGAATCTTTGGCCCAGCAAGTCTTAGTGTTCTGCTGCTTATACTGGTACCTGACTACCTTTCTCTTTCATTGACCATTTTCCACAACCATGGTTGCCATCCATTACTTGCTTCCATTTTATATTCTTAGTCTGTGCGGTTGGTACTGAGCAGGCTTATTTTTAAATGGTGCTGCCGAGTCCAGCTAATTAATGGTGCAGGTGGATTTTTAGCAAGCTGACTCACTGGTACAGACTAAACCAGGCATGGAATTCCTGAAGATGTTTGGGGGTTTATCTTTATTAACTGAAGGTTAACACTCTCTGAAGAGTTTTGTTATGACTTCTGCTGAACTTCAAAATCAGTAGATTTGGAAGTGTTTCAATGCTTAACTTTTTCCAGGCCTGCTTTGTATTCTATTTGCTTGCAAGTGTGTTACTAAGATGGCCAAAATGCCAGTTATTGCGTCTTTGTTAATTGTCAGCTGCTTTTATCAAATTCCAGGCCATTGTCCAGCAAACACTATAGAAATGTTTGAACAGTTGGATTTCAAACATTTTCATTTTGTGGAGTGGTGCTTACCAGTGGTACAGCTCTAAGCAAGTGAACATAAACACATTTAAGTGTATTTTGTCTGGTTAGGTGTTTACCTGTTTTGTTATTTCGTACAAATGTCTGAGAAAATCAGTTGACTATTCCTTTTATGTAAAGGGCAAAGACAAATGATCTCACTTCCAGAGAAATGACTGTTTTGGAGAAAAATGTGTTGGTCTTTTAGCTCTTTTGTTATTATCTGGATGTACCTCAAAAGAATCTTAAGACTGTGGTGATCTTATAAGATGCTTTCCTCCGGAGAAAAGAGGAAAAAAAACAACTGGAACTCAAAGCTTGAAATTCTGTGACAAAACATGAGATGTCCAGGATAGGAGGCCGAAAAGGTTTCACTACAGTGTTCTGCACTAGCTGGAGCAGATGCTTTTCTATGTAGCCACGGCATGGACTCCAGATTTCCAGATTTTCAACACCTGGGACCTGAAGAGCGTGTCAGGATGTGACTGGAACTCTGGAGCTGAATATTTTTGGTTTTGAATTTCGGGTCTGTTGACCTTGCTTTGAGAAGAGACAGCACCTGAGCAAGCACTGCCACCAGCACCATTACTGGGAATTTGAAGACCTGAGTTTCTGCCAGACCTTCAGTGCAAACTCTAGCAACACTCCATCAAAAGTGAACTACGGTACTTGCCATTTTCCAAAATGCCTCATTCTTTATTTACCATCTCTGCACTTTTTTCATGCTCTACTTTGGAATGTATTCCTCTGGTTCTTCACCTGTCAGAACACTGCCATTTCCTCAATATCCACGTCAGATGCTCTCTACTTCCATGAGACTCCTTAATTTTATCTTTTTTTAAGTTTTATATTCTGTTGTTTACCTTTTAGCTATCTTTGTGTAGCATACGTTGTAAAGTAGTCATTTGCAAGCATTGGCTCTTTTTCCAGATAGCAAGCCCCTTGAAAGCAAGGGCTTTGTTTTAAGGATTTTTGCCCGCATGTACTACCTACATATGATGGAGCCTTTCATAGAAAGGAGTAATTTAGCGAATTTAGAGAGCGGGCTGTCGGAATAAACACTCAGTAAGCGTTTGGTTAATTGCTGTGTGGTAACCTAATTACTTTTGATTAGGAAAAGATCACTAGTTATGGATCATGTTTCTGTGTTTCATGGTGGGGTTTTTTTTTTTTTTCAATTCTAAATTTAAAAAGATTTAGGGAGCCCTCAGACAAGAAGAGAAACTGAAAGATTGCATAGGGTATTAACAGAAGGGTGCAAATACCAGGGTCTTATTTGCCGGGTACCTTATTCTCTCCCACACAAGATGGGATCTTGTTAAAATGAAAGTTAAAGACAGCTTTTAAAAAAGTACAGGTCATAAGATAATTTGAGGAAGGCATTGGAAAAGGAAGGAGGACAGGATCTCCTTTGGTGTTGGTATATATATTCAGTTCTTGTGCTACCAACGGAGCCACTTCTTTACTCCCCAATCAGGCACTACTCAGCAGCCTGAATACAATCAAATCACGCCCCCAAATTACGAGACTTAGGGCAATTCCTGTTTGCTGCTTCCCTAAGACAGTTTGTTCTCAAGAGTCAGGAAGCAGTCCCTGACGGAGAACAATTATCATCACTGATTGTTAATCAGAAAGCTTTTTTTACTCCCCATTTATCATTTGTCAGCTTCTTAGTTAGGCTTATTGAGAACGAGTACCTATCAGGCAGCTGATATGTTGACAGCACACCCACCCTAGTGTTAGTGTCCTGTGTTTGTAATTCCATGCATTTGTTATCTTACCTGTTTTGTTCCTGTCCCTTCCAGTCTTGTGCCTCCTGATTGCTGAGTGTTCACCTGGACCTTCTGACCACCTTCCTTGTACTATTCCATCAGCCTACAGATCTGGTACCTGGATTTTTGCCCTTGGTGATTCCTTCACCTTACTGCTGAAGAAGACACCATTCCAGTGGACCACTGTGATCCAAGAGGCATTCAACCATCATGATGTGGCCTTCACCTCCACTCCTGTCCTGTTCCACCCAGATTCAGCACAGCCCTTTATAGTGAAGTCAAACTTTAAGTCAAGTAGCTGAAGCTATCACAACAAAGGCCCAATTTGTTCCTTGAGTGTGCATTTCATTTCTTCAGTTAAAGCCTTCAGAGACACATAATAAATTTGGACCAGAGGATTTTTAGTTACCAACACTGAAGAATGACATCTTTTCAAGAATGGCATTGGACCATACCCCACAATTTCAAATGATTGAAATTCGTGAAGTGTCTAGGATCCTCTCCAGGTCACTGGATCTTATTCTTTTTCCACTTCAAGTCTATAGTAGCCTACTGAATAGAAAGCAGATATTCTGACCAGCAGATATTGGGATTAAAACAAAGGCACAGTGAACTCACAGCATCTTTGGGATTACTCAGGAACCAGAACTTTTCACACAAATTTAAGAAATTCTACCAAGGAATCCCTTTATCTAACAGCATCTCACAAACCTGCAGTCAGATTCCAGAAAAGGCATCTTGATACATCCAGGTAGAACTTATAATGGTAATCCCTTATGTTTATATAGCACTTTATAGTTTCAAAGCACTTTTACATGCATTGATCTCAATTATCAAAATAACACAGTAAATTATAATCCCTTTTTGCAAATGAGGAAATGGAAATTTAAAAGGTTATCCAAGGTGACACAGCTACAAAAGTGGTAGAGGTCAGGCCTTCTGACTCCCAGTCCAGTTCTCTCCATGGAATTTACTTAGCTTCGACTTTACCTGCAGTGTTAAGATGACTGAAGATTGGTAACCCCAGAAGAGTTTTCAACTTCCTGATCTGGTACCCTCAGTCAGGATGTCATAAGTGTAATCTTGTGATGGCTGCACCTAGACCAGAATTCCATGGCAATACCCCTAAGGTTTAAGAGTGGACTGTCTCCATAGTGGCAGATTATTCTAGTCAACAAGGCACATGCTCATCTGACAATAAGACTATGTAACATGAAACACAAACCTACTTTTAGATCTGTTATTCCTGTCTTCCCAAATGGCCTAATTGATTGGAGATCCCTGTTCATGTTTTGTCCTCTTTTTTTTTTCTAAGTCTTATTAATAACTCCTAGACACCAGGAAATTATCTATGGTCCTCTACCCCCAAACATGTACTTGACATGAGTCCTACGTTTTTTTAGAGCAGTGCTGTTCATATATGTATGTATATTTGATGCATATTCATAACGTGTATACATAGAGCTTCCATAGTCCTGTAAGATGGTAAAATATGTGTTCCCTCCCCTGATTGACTGTAGTGTATTAAAGGATCTCAGAAGGCTTGCAACAAAGAGCCTCATTGAGCTGTTTAGCCCAGTGTATCCTAAGTATAATCAAACACAGAATGTTATTGTTGTACTATTCCTTTAAATGGAATGGGGAAACTGCTTTAATGCAGTATAGCCAGTACTGGAGACCTAGGAGTAAACAGCATCTTTGAAGCCCCTTCCCCCATTTCTGACTTTGTCAATAACTGCTTGAATTGGTATGTCTTTATCATCTGAGAGTCCTACATCTTGACCATTACCTCTGTTTTTCTGTTAAAGGAACCGCTAGAGGATCTGTGAGGATATATGGGAAGGGAATGGGGAAAAGTTAATGTTGACCCCCAAATTGGATGAGTTCCATGACATTTAGCAATATACTTCTCTGTCCTTAGAATTGTGCTGTAAATCTAGCTCAAAGGCATTGAATCTCAGGTGGGTGAGGAGATTGGGAAGGGAAGGGAGGAGGAGAAAGATGGAAAAAAGAGGGAGGAGGGATGAGAAGGAAATATTTTCTTAGAATTTGAGTTGTGGCCCATTGAGATCTTACCAGTGCTTGAAGAGAAGTCATCTAGCCATGGACTTGGGATAACATTTGCAAAGAAATGGAATGCATTTTGCAGACGTATGCTGACTGCAAAAATCCAGTGCTGTTGTCACTTAAAACCAATAGCCTGTTCTCTGATAGTCACAAACCCAATTTGAGGCCATCAGAATTTATAGCAAACTTGAATGTTAACTTCATCATTCTGTAATGTGGCCCATATTAGGGAAAGAATGACTAGGAAAACACCTTCTTGGCTTACCACAGACTTTGCTCACAGTTTCTGGTTTCTGTGACCTATTTTTTGTATTTCAGCATTTTGTGAACAACTTATTCTTAGATCATTGGTTTTCCAAAGGCTTTGTGACCATGAAGCCCTTTGGATGAAAACTGTGTGGAAGCCCAGAGTAAAAGAGAAGCTGCTGTAGATGAAGCAGGAGTGGGGGGCCTGAAACCTGCCACACAAGCATCTTCCTTTACCACCATGGTGACCCCTAAGGAGACTTCTTTACAACACCTAGAATTCTTCAGAACACAGTTTGAAAACCACTGCCCTAGACAACATGTGCAACCTGAATGGCATTCTGATCTGTACCTCTACCCAACCCAGTCCGTGTTCAGTTGATGCTGCACATTCTTAGGAATACTTACTGTGGGCAGAATCAGAAAAGTGCAAGAAGATGGGCATATCTTTGCCCCCCCAGAGTAGTCATGTGGGCTGAAAGTGGTATCAAATGGACCTAGATTAGCAGCCCTGTACCCCCAGATGGATTTCAAGTCAGTGATTACTGGGATTCAATATAGTCAGCAATTCATACGTACGCCACACTGACACACCCCCTTACCCAGCCTCTTTAACAAACACCAGATGTTCTAGTGGTACTTGAAATACGTAACTTTGAAGTCTTGATCCTCCTTGGATACCTGAATCGCCAGGTATTGAAGCTGGTACTAAAGTTGATGATGCCTCATTGAGGCCATATTAGACCAACTTGTACATTGGACCTCCCATCATCAGCCATGGTACTTTACTTCGTGTGCAAGGCATAACCATTAACTATGAAAGTAGAACTGAAATTCTGGCAACATTACCTAAAAGGATACCTGGTTATTCATCTTATTCTCAAAACCACAAGTCCCTATGACTCAACCAGTGGCAGTTAGGCTCTTCCTTGGTTATTATTCAGTTTAACTGCTGTTTCCAGGATAAATGAGCTAATAACCTTAAAAAAATTTACTCCATCATTGGCATATCTGCTCCAACAATTACGAATACTCTGCTCTAACTACATGTAACACCTGATCCACAAGAGACTATTTTTGAACATCCTCTCTCTATGTGATTTTAAATGCGATCTTTTGGAAAATTTTCTTATAACCAATGAGAGGTGTTCTTTTATGATGGCTCTTTTGATGTCTGGTACCATCAACTGCAGGTGTTAGGGATATATGGAGGTAGGCCTCTTGACCAGGCCATGGTAGCTTGCTTGCTGGGCATCTCAAGTTACATATCATCTACCTTTTTGCTGGAAATGTAAACTGACTTGAAAATCTACAAAGCCTGCAGCTAAGATTTTATCAGTAGACTCAAGAGCTTCCTGCAGCTTCTTCCTAATGTTACAAGACCAGTGTCTTGTCTTTGTGGATGTTTTCATAGAATTTCATCTGTTTTATACTGTTGTTTTACACTGACTGAGAGTGGCTGACTTCATTCCTTGCTATGAGATACTCTCAGGCATTAAGACACTTAACCTGTTTCTGCAGGATGGATTCAGTTCGTGAACTCCCAGACCAGATCATGTCAAACAAGTAGACTTCAGTTTGTGTCATGAGAAAAATCTCAATCCCTTACTTCACAGTCTACTTAAGGGCCAGCTGTCCTCAACTATACTCTAATGAATGCACTGGTTAAATGTTGGGAATGGTTTCTTTGTATCTTTGTCTCTTATTCTCTAGACTAACCCTGATTACATGACTCTGTCTACAAATCAAACAAGGCCTGCGCATCCTCAACTAATAAAAATCTAATGACTAGCTTGCTTGTATATACAACTATTGTTTGTTAATAAGAAGTTATCTACAAACTCCATTTTTCTACTACCTTCAAAATGTCAGCTCGATTTTCTCTTCTGTACTTACAGAAAAAGACACTGATCTACACTGCCAGTCATTCCCTTTAATCCTGTCAAACGCAGTCAAAATGAGGGGCTTAAGGTGAGGATGATCATCTGTTCGAGAGTCTAATGTACGCTGTGTATAAGAATTGATGGTTGAAAATGAAGAAAGCCTAAAACTCAAACCTAGGATGTTAACTACTATCTCCCTGCCTCAGATCTCAATCTGAGTCTTTCAGCAGCACCATCCAACCAATCTAAGGCCTTGTTTATAAGCTGATTCTCAGAGATGGGCTGAGTTTCAGAAGATGGAGACTTGATTACCAAAGAGAGTAGGGCCAACTTTCATGAACCTGGCTCTCCCAACCTTGTCATTCCCAGATGTAGCATAGACTCCTCAACAGAACCTCAAGTCTGAATTGAGAATATAGCCTTCTACTGAGCTGAAAGTTCTGGGGCAGATAAGCAGAAAAATGAAAGCTGCTATACCTGACTGGCCCTTTAAGATCAGAAAATCGTATCCAGAGTAAACCTTAAGGAATGACCCTGGAGTACTCAGGGTAAAAACTAATTTACAGAGCTTCGATATCAATCTACCCATTTTTCCAGATCACATCCTGGCTATTGGTGTGGCTAGCCCTGCTGAAGGTACCCTGTTTGCCTGTTTAGACTCAGCCCTTGTATGCCTTTTTTGACATTTTGGCAGTCAGACTGGCTGTGCATGAGAGAACTACAACTGGTATCAGCCTATCTTACACTCAGTTCCACCAAGGAGTTTTGAATAGAAGCAACCTGCATCTCATACACACACACATACACACACCCAGGACTTAATGTTCACAACTGGAAGGACTGTGCTATATACTACTTGACCAGCAGCCTTTTTTTTTTTTTTTAAGTGCAGAGTAAGCCTCTACACCTATATATATTTCATCATTTTTAGCACTTGAGACCCCTTCTACCAGATCTGAAGGACTACAGATTGAAAGCACTGTCCATTCCTCTCTTCTGCAGTAAAACAGAGGTGACAGAAATGTACCAGTTCACCTTGGCAAAAGACTAAAGGAATGCAAGAAAAGTTTTCCACTGAACTTAAAACTTACACTGACTTAATAGCCTCACAGAACTGTTTGCCAGGGGGAGGCTTATTGTCCTGTGTTGTGTCTGCAAGATGGTTGGGCTCTCAGATTCAAGGCCACTGAGTTTACTTCTGTTGAAACACTATTGCATCATCCAAAGTATGCTATTGGACACAGTTATTCCATTCAAATGGATTACAAGCTTCCTGAGTACAGGACAAACTTACTCCTCACGATGTTTTTTCAGAATACTTTTATTGTCAAGAAAGTAACAAATGCCAGCTGTTAGTGAACAGATACTAAACTTTTTCAGTATTATGGGTCATATTGACATCAGTTGTTTTTGATTGACCAGCATCCATTCCATCTCTTTGTAGCAACTCTGTGATGTTTCTTGGAACCACTTTTCCGTATCTTCAGTCCACATGATTCAGACAGTCTGGCCTAACTTGAAGCTTCATGGGTGGACATGTAATTCAGACCTGATCAATCAGCATAGTCCATTCTTTCACCATAAAGATTGGTTCTGGAATGGTCGTGTGATCCAAGTTGGTCCAGTGATACTCAGCCCTAGGAGTTCTACTGAACTGTGGAGGAGAAGCTCAGAAGCTCTCTTTACCGAGGTTGCTTGGCTTTGTAGTATGAAAAGCTCAAACCAACAGGGCCCACCACATCAAATGAGCCAGAGAATGAAGCCAGTGCAGAGCCAAATGATGGAGAGACTTGAGTCCTGATGACAATGTTTGTGCCCCTGGATCCAACTGTGCCTGAAGCTAGTATATCCCTATGGACTTTTCAGTTATGTGAGCCAATAAATACCCTTTTTTGCTTTAAGTTACTTTGAGTTGGGTTTCTATTGCTTAAAATTGAGTCAGTCCTGACTAGTATACTGTCTACCAGCATCAAAACTTGACAAATTCAAGTATTTATTAAACTGGAGGTCATGGCCACACTGAGGTCTTCCAAACCAGAAGACAAAGTGAAACAGAAAGTGACAATATTTAAGTTACTACAGAAGCATAAAAATTACGTGGTAGAAAAATATAGAAGAAAACCTAAATGTGTATAGGTAAAGGATTGGTTAACACATGGCTCAGCCATGGCTGATAAAATTAATAAAATACATTTATTGTGTATGAACATGGAAAAATGGCCATGATATATTAAGTGAAACAAACTATTAATAGAAAAATGTATAGTATGAACTCAAAAATTTGTGTTTATGATGCATAGAAAAGTCTAATGGCTTTCTTCAAATAGTGTAGATTACATGAGACTTTTAGCTTTATACATTTCTGTATTTGAATATTTTCCACTAACATTACTTTTAAACTTTATTTAAAAATAAAGAATTTTAAAAATTAAGTTTAGTACTTACTGTTTGACTTGGGCAAGTTACTTACCACAGCTTATTTTGTCAAATAATTTAAAATACCCATCTTTCTGTTAGTGAATATTTAGATAAATATAGTCATCCATTAGTGAAGCTGACAAGGTTGTTGTACCTTGTTTGAGGAACTCAAACTCAGTAATTGATTCTTAATTTTTCAAGCATATCTCTTTAAATGAGGTTTTTTTGGATTATCAGGATATCCTAGTATCAGTGTTCATCAAAGATTATTCCAGTTCTCAACTGATTAATCTATTAAGTCCTCTATTGCAGTGTTCACAGTAGGTAGGTAAAAGAAAAAGATCACCTTTTCTTTGAAATCCTTCAGTATTTTGATACCACAGTCAAGTTCAATAGTGACCTTTTTATTTTTAAGTCTAGTACATATTCATCTTATCTGAACTTTCAGCAGCACAGTCTGCTCCCATCATACCTTGGCACACTCTTTTTCCCTTAGGTATTGTGACACTTCTCATTTTCTTCCTGCATTTCTGGCTTTTGCTCCATTGTAGATAGTTGTCTTCTTGCCATCATTTAAATATTAGTGTAATGGCCATCCATTGATTTTTGCCTCCCATATCCCCTTTCCTTTAGTGATAAATCCCCACTTTTTCTTTGGAGTGCTATTCCTTTCCATTCTGAGGTTTTAGTAGAACTGTAGATTACAGTATTCCGCCTCGTGCCCCCCTAGTTGATCATGTGATCCAAGGCTTGTCCAATCAAAATTCCCCTCTCACCAGGACTTCGAATCTTAAGAGAGGTGATGCAAACAAAATCAGGAATTGAGTCATTCTGATGGTAGTGTCCCAAGGAAGCTATATCAGAGTTGGTGCAAGGACATTCCCCCATGGTGCCCTGATTCCTGTTGCAAGGCCTAGTTTCCAAATTTTTCTTTGATTCTGTAGACTACCATATATCCTAAAATACGTTCCCTTTTCATTTGTCAGCCAAAGCAGGTTTCTCTTGCTTACAACCAAATGACTGAATGATAACAGAAATTGATACCAGAGAGTTAAATGGGCTTCAGACCTTTAGGAACATGGAAGATGTGGAATTGAGTCTGCACTAAAGGCAGCAAAAATTTGTTCTGTATCCCAGGGTAGGGGAAATAAGCAATTTATATTGGCAAAGGAGCCAGTAAAGATACTTTCCCCTTGTCATTTGGAAGCATGTGCCTGTTGAGGCAAAATGTGGATAACCAGGTATCTGTTGACAGTGGGACAATTTGAAATGGATAAGGAAACCATTCTACTGGCAGTATCTTCTCACTAATATATACAGGTGTGTTGGTGATGGTTAAATATGCTAGCAGATGCATAAATTGTTGATTTCAAGGTACGGTTTAAGAACTAAAGGACAGTATCACCCAGAAATTTTAGGTTTGACACTGGATGTGATAAGTGGAAGTTATTTTTAAGTTCTCACCTTGGGGAGAAGAATCCATTTTCTACAGTCTGTTGAATGGAAGCATTTATAAAGTTATTCATGTTGAAGAATGCATGTCCTGGGCAGCCAAAGGATAGAACATAGTGGGCAGTTGCATTTACCTAACCAGTGTCTCTCCCCGCCTCCTTTGAGAACAGCACCTCACCTTCCCTTTGTGAAGCTGCCCCTCTACCATGCTACCAGAACATAATATGTAAATGGCGTATGAGTTCATGTTACCAAGGTTTCCTCAGTTACCCAGATTCCTGATTTTCTTGAATGTTAAGCTTCTCAAATTTTTGTGAACTGCCTTGTATCCTTCCAGTAAATTGCATCAGCTGTGCATACTAATACATATGGCTGTAAAAGGTATCCCTTTACAACCAAAAGCAAAGGCCTGGTAGCCAGGACCAATTTTTGTTACTTAACAGAGAAGCCCAACCGAATCAGTGTCCCTCCTGTGTCTTAGGCCTTCTTGGCCTACTCTGAAGAATCTCCCCCATTCCCATTTCTTTGGTTTTCAACTGTATGTTGATAACTTCAGATTCCTATTTTCAGCCCAGATATATTTCCTGAGCTCCATATTTGAATGTCCACCTGCCGTTTGGATATCCCCCTGCTTGGTGAACAGATACTTCACACTGACCCCATCATTTTTCCCTCAAAATCTGCTCTTCTCATTCTTTTCTTGAGAAATGGCTCCACACTCCACAAACTAGAACACAGGAATTATTCTTGTCACTTCCTTCCTTTTTTCTGTTACCCCTAACATCCCTGTTAGTCATTAAGGTGTATCATGTAAATGATACACTCTCCTGGGGTATCATGTAAATATACCTTAAAACCATCTCCATTCTATCAGCCTTGTCCAGGGTATCTATTGACAGGACTACTGTGATGCCATTCTAGTGTCACTTTCTCTACTGCTGTCCTATTACAGTCTGTTCTTTGCAGAGCAGCTAGAGTAATCTTTGATACGCAGATCTGATTGTGTCACTCCCCTGCCTAAAACCTTTGAACAGTTCCCCCATTGTTTCAGAATAAAATCTAAACTTTTATTCTGAAACTTTATACTTTTTTTACAAGGTTCTTCATTATCTTACTCAAGCCTTTCACCACTTCAAACAAATAGCTCAATTTTGTATATTGCATTTACTGTAATACTTCATATGAAAAAAGGATTCCAAGGTTCTCTTTCCATGAAGTTTCTAAATTAAATCTGATATGTGTTACTACTATATAATTAGAGCTACAGTAAAGTGCCTAGAGAGCAACCAGATTCCTGCCTCACAACACACACAATACCAAAGGAACTGCAAATTCAAATGTTAAAATGAAGTATTAGAAGAATTTTGAGGAGGCTTTATAATCGTATGATGGGGATCATAAGCAAAAGAAAATCCAGAAGTTCTCAAGGAAATTAGAGAAATACTTGACCACATAAACAAATTTGGGGAAAACAAATCTTGGTTCTATAAAAGACACATGAAAAATTTCCAACACAAGTGACAGATTGATGATTAAAATCCCTAACATACAGAGAGTTCCTACAAATTGATTACTACAAAACAGTCATCCCAATAGAGAACATCCAATAGGCAACTCAAGAAATCTAAAAGACCAACAATAATAGTCACTAACCACTTACTTGGAGTTTGCTATGTGCTAGACATTGTTTCAGGCACTTTACAAGCATTATTTAATACAACTTACCTTGGAGATAGGTAATATCATCCCTGTTGTACGGCTAAGAAGACAGGCTTAGAGGAATAAAGTAACTTGTCCAAGTCCTGCAATAGGTGGTCACATGGCTTGAGCTATGACACAAACTCAAGTGGTTTGACTCTTGAGTCCATGCTTCAAACCATTGTTCTCTCGGGCATATCAATAAGCATATGAAAGCAGATCAAGTGTACACATGGTCAGGGAGATGTAAATCAAAATGGTACCATGGGTCTCCTATCAGATGCAAAATTTAAAACAGCAATGACCTCCAGTGCTGGCAAGAATTAGGGTAAATGAAAACTTTTGTACATTGTTGGTGTGAGTGTGGATTGTTCTAGTCTTTTTAAAAGATAACCTGGCTGTAGCAATTACAATTTTTAGATGCATCTTTTAACCTAGCAGTCCCACTTTGAAGAACTGTATGTCAAAGAACTACAAGCACTGAGATAGAAGGAACAAGGACATCAGTGCAAGAAGTTTGCTGTAACATGGCCTGTGGTAGGAGAAAAATGGGAACAACTTGACAGTCAAAGGGAATGATTGAATCATTTGTGGAACAACTACAAGCTGGAGTATTACGCAGCTGTTGAAAAGAATGAGTCAGACCTCTGGGTCTTAACCTGTGGCATGCCCATGATATATTTAAGTGAAAAGACAAAGTTACAGAGTAACGTATATTGTGAACCCATTTTGGTAAAAACAAAACCTACAAATATGTCAATGAGTGAATGATTATGAAAGAAAGGTGGACACACAGTTCTGGAGTAAACTGAAGAGTTTAGAGAAACTTAGTACTTTGTACATACTGGCATTGTTTCACTAGTTGCGGGAAGCACATGCCGTTTTTTTAAGAGAAAATTTACTCATTTCTACATTGAAATATTTTTAAAGAAGCAATTAAATTGCAATTGGACATTTTCTCCCTAGAATATGCTAATAGAAGAGTGATAAAAAGGAGGAGAACAAAGAGTAATGGTTAGTTATGTCTCACATATTTAGGGTTGCCTCTTGAAGGTACTTGGTTTCCAGGTGACTGGTCTTTAGCCTTTGGATAGGCCAGTCTACAGCAAAGAGCTGTACATTAGGGTGCTACATTCTGACAAAGACTGGTTGTCTCCCTGTATGTTCTTCCCAGAAAAAACACATTTCCCAGCCTCCCTTGCATATAAGTATAACCCACTGAGTACATTTTAGCCAATGGGGCATGAGCGACTGCTGCAACTTGTCCTTAAAGGAGTGTGTGCCCATCTCTTTCTTCCCATTCAGCCAAGTACAATGTGGGCTTGGAGGCTGGGGACTTGAGCATGTCACAATTGGACCATGAAGCAAAAGGAGGTGTGTGGGAATGGTCATGGAGCAACAAGTTAGAAGGAGCCGAGGTTTATGATGAATAAGGAACCACCATACCAGGCCTGAACTATTCACCTCTGGACTTTGTTTATAAGGC